TTTGTGGCATTACTGTACAAATAAAAGTCATGGCATCCTTCCTCCACACCCTAAACCCCCACCCATCCCACTCTTCCCATCATCCCTCTCTCCCTTTCTCTACCTGACAGAGCTCTAACAATGTCCTCCTTTCTCCACTCCCAGGGCAGCTCGTATTCTCCGGCTGGACGGACGTCAGACTCTGGCCGTGTGACAGGGATCCACACCCCCTCGCTGTCGCCGTCCTGTCCACCCTCGTACGGTGTGTCATAGATATTTGGGGGCGTCGGTTTGTACTCCTCTACTTTCCCTCCTCTTTGGCCTCGGTCCAGGAGAACACACACTTTCAGGAGGTCTTTGGATCCACGCCTACGAACCTCTACAGCAGAATTGTCATGTGCTTAGTAAGGTAACAGCACAGAAGTGAAGGATATTTACTTATGACATAATAAGAAAAACAACATTGTCATGTGCTCCTGTTAAACTAGTACATCAAGTACAGAGGAACTTACAGTACTTTTTGATAATTTTCTTGTCATTCCTTTGTTTTTCAGCCAACTTGAGCTCAAAATATCTTTCTTAATGCAATAAAAAGGGAAATTTAATGAGGATGTTGACAGATAGAATGTGCAATTACAGTTTTTAGACTCAGCAGCTTCACAGAACAGATGTGTTTTCAGTCAGATTATAGACAAAGCAATCATCAGCCTGATGCCGTAACACGTTTTCTAGTAGTTGAGGAGCTCTCTAGACACACAGTACACCTAGTACATCTTGTAAGCTTACTAGTATTTTTAAAAAAGTAAATTTAAAGTGTACTTTTTCACATTGCACATTCTGGTGACTTTGTGGGCTGGAATAAGAAGCCTGTCCATTGCTTCAAACTAAATTACATACTTTATATTTACAATCATATTTTTACTCTAACACATGTATATTCTCTTGAACATTGTGTTTGTTTTGACAAGTCGTTACATTTTTCGGAATTTCATTTGTTGTGTTCCTTTGCTGTTCAACAGGTAGCCTGTGTGTCTCCACTATTGTGTGACCAAACAATGGAGCTACAGGAAGAAAAGGTCAACACAGCTGCTGATTGGCTGCCTGACCAGGCCACTTCCTGACTGCTGGGAAGTGATTGGGTGAGGGGAGGGGGTGGGTGGGTAGGTTGTGGGTTCTGGAGATGGCTGAGAGAGGGGTCTTTTGATTCTTTTTCACACGTAAGGTACCATAAAGTATTTTGTGTATGTGTGTGTCTGTGTGTGGGGGGAGGGTACTGGGGCCAACTTCCTATCAAGAGAATGGGGCAAAGGAAACAGAGGCAGGAGACAGGAAGTTGGAAGAGGAAGCTGCGCCCATTGCCCCTGTACAACACTGTTCCTATAGCAACCGCCAGCGGGGTGGAAAGTCAGCAGAGAGACTGAGGGTCTAGCTTGGTGAAAATCCCTTTAATACAGCCCCTTTAGCAAGAATGAGATCGTTCAAAAGCAGATGTGTAACAAGCGTGATTACTGTCAGCTATAAACTTGCTCAGCTCATCAAAATTGATATACACATTCTTTGCGAGATAAACAAAGACAGTTATCTTGTCAGCAAACAAAACTGCAGTCCACACACCACCTATTTCAATCAAATGATGGTTTGACAATACAGTTAGACATGAAAGATCAAAGTCAGTCTCCAAAACAACAGACAGCAGCATTGAATCAAAGGATAGGTGTATTAACTTGCATGCTGGCCCTTCTGTCATGCAACAAATGACCCTGATCTCACCTGTGATGATGACCTGTGCATCATAGGGCTCCATGTATCCATCATTCACCCCTGCTCTCTCAGCCTCTCTCTGCTCCTTTGTTTTCTCTGCATCAAAAGGATCTGCATAGTCCTCTAGGATAATCAGCTGAAAGAAAGAAAAGATCAGTCAGAGAACATAATACTGGACTATCTACTCAGATGTTACATTTACCTAGAGACAACAGAGCAGGCAGGGGTAGAGGAATCTGATACACTGTGTGTGTGTGTGTGTGTGGTGTCTATGACTGAGTGACAAGTAATGGAGGGACAAGAGGAAATACTTGTGCAAAGAGGTCAGCTCATTATGGCTGCCTGTTTGATCTGACACAATGCAGTGAAACTGCATTGTATTCTTTTAAGAGCGATGGAAACTGAATACAGTGTTATGAGCTGAGGTGGAAAGGGAAAACACAAAGGAAAGCACTATACCCTCAAGTCCACAATGAAATTAGTTTTTGCACTGGTTATTGACTTTTAGTCTGCATGACGTTGGCCTGGCTTGGTTTTATTTCCAAACAAATACCAAAATATAAGTTCATGATAAAACGTTGGTGTATGTTGGTTGCTTTACCTGGTTCCATTCGTTACTCACCGTTGTTTTAATGTCTGACCGTGCCTTCTCGTTTTCCGGCATCTTCTGTTCACTTATGCCGTTCATTTTGGGGGTCTTGTCTTGTTTGTCCACTTTGATCATCCTGCTGATGTAAGCTTGCGCTAAACTAGAGGTCCTAACCTGGCGGTTCTCATCTGATGCTGCAGTCTCGATCTTGGAGTTTTTACGACCTTTTCCAGGTGCGCGACTATCCCAGACTGTCCCACCAGAACCAGTCTGGCCACGACCCAACTCTGTAGCCGAATTTTTCCTATTTCTCCCTGCCAGTAAACCGCCAACTCCTCCATCCTTACGCTGATTTCCTTTCAAACTGTCTCGAGAGAACGAAGGTTTGGGTCGAGTTTGTGGACCAGATTCAGACGCAGAGCGGACTCTTTCGTTTCCGTTTTTCAGGTTGATGGGAAAATCTCTGAACCATTTTGCCATGGCTGTCAAATTATTATCACTTCTCCCTTAGATTCAAAAGTTAACAAAGCTGTGGTCTTTTACCCGTTATTGCATTAGCCGGTCCCCCAGAACAGACTTTGAACCGTGCGTAATAGCTCCAACTTTGCATACAAATATTTTACGCACGCCTCGATTGACGTAACTTTGGAATAAATGTGCAAAGATATCTGAATAATCAAACAGAGCAGAGACCACTTTATGGTGCTGTGCTAATTTCTACCGTGTGAAACTCCCTGACAATCATACAGCTTCAGGTGCGTCTCGGAAATCATCGGCCAGTTGCCCTTTGCTGTCACCCTGCACCAGCAGCAACAACTATCCCTGCAGTTTGAAAAGTAGTTTCTGCAGAGCATAAACTCGAAAGAATTGGAAGTTTTTCTTTGAACCCAGTAAAGATCCCATTCCCGGAGCGTGAGATGATGCGTCTAGTCTGTCGACCAGGCGAAGTGATGAGATGGAGAGAAAAGTTGAGTGCGCAAACTCTGGGATGTCGCTGGAGTTTGGGGTGTGAACGTATGTGGATTGGGCGGAGTATGACTTTTACTGTAACAATTTCAGTCGCAATTGAAAATCCCCAAACTTCAAACTTTTGAAGTGTTCTCTCACGCAGACTACCACAGTTGTAAAACAGTCAGCGAACGTTATGAGACATTTGCATCGAATGGTAAATCATTTTCCATTGTATTTATGCAAGATTTTGCAATTGGTAATGCAAAAATCTTTTAACATACTGTAATAATACCTTTTTAAAACCGCTGTGGCAAATTTGTGAATTGGTGTTCACCTTTATTTAACCAGGAAAGATTAATTTACATTTCAAACCTCTTTGTCAAAAGTGCCCTGGTCAAGATAGGCAACAACAGATTGTCTTACAGAATACACTAAATATGCCACAAAATCAGAATTAAAAAGAAATTCTATTACACAATCCTGAATATATTTCCTAATCCAAATCTAAACCATTGTAGGTTATCACGTGCACAATCTAAATGGTATCTTAAAACAACGCACAGCTTTCTGCCAAGGGAGGATGATGCTGGTCCACCAGCAGGTAGGTAGGTGCGCCATCTACTGTTAAATTGGAGAAACAAATACATATCTGTCTTAACTGTGGTCTGGAGCCGATCCCAGCTGTCACTGGGCGAGAGGCGGGGTACACCCTGGACAGATCGCTAGTCCATCACAGGGTTGATACTAAGAGGCCGACGACCACACGTAGGCGCCGCTAGACCCCTTTTACCAGGGCACGTGAACCAGTATTGATCTGCTGTGCCCCACTAAAATCACACGTTCGATCTTTAACAAGCTCCTTTATTTGGCAGTGGATTAATTTAGACTGATAATAACGTGTAAAGAAATTATTTGTTGTTCTATGTCAATGTAAAATACAAACTTAGGCGCAAGTGGGTCAAAGTTCGTACACCACGGTGCGCGCATATGCACTCCGTGTACGTCGTTGATGGAGCATTGCAACGAGCAATCCATGTACTGCGCACGAAAGGAAAGGAAAGGAATGAAGTGAGGTCTGTGGCTGAGGTCTGATACTGTCTCTGCTGCTTCTGGCTCTAGTTGTAGCCTAGTCTAGCCCATCTGCTGGAGGGTTTGTAGAGATTGCTATGGGAGACCATGAGACAGAAGGCCTGGGTGGCAGACATGTCTTTCAGAACTGAATGGAAACGTAAAGGAGCTTAGGTCAGAGCTGCAAGCCAAGACTCCAGAGGTGCAGGAGCTCAAAGCAGCAGTGGATGGAGCATTGAAGAAGATGCTGAATAGTGAGGGAGTGGTGCTCATGCCACTGTCTTTGCCAAAAGTGCTATAGAGAAACTGCTGGATACTAAACTGAATGCAGCCAGGACAGAAATTCTTAGTGGGTTTGAGAAGTGTGTGGAGAGTACTGAGGGCAGATGTGAGGAGAGACGTGCCTTGTCAGTGCCCGAGGGAGCAATATGAGAGGCAGGAACAGATGGAAGCTCTGCAGGAAAGTACCACTGACTTGAGAATACAGCTGTGAAGCCTCCAGGCACAGCTCCGTGGTGTAAAGGCTACAGAGGCCTGTTGTGGTAGTTGAAAGGGTGCAGCTGTTGGAAACATCACTGGCAGGCTTCAACCAGTCTCAGGGACACCTGAGAGTGGAGCTGGGTATACACAAGGACCACATAGAGGGAATATTGGCGGGGCATCAGGGGTATGTAGAGGCCAAGTTGAACCTGACCGGGCAGACAGGAGAGGGCCTGGAGGGCAGAATGGGTGAGGAACTAAAGGTTCTGGAGGGCTGTTTACTGATGGCTTTGGAGGAGCTGGGAAATGCCAGCTCCCCTTCACTGCTGGAAAGTCATGCTCTCCAGGCACTCCCTGAGGAAAGTTGTCCACCAGGTGGGTCAAGCCAACAGCGCCTGGCATGAGAGAGAAGCTCTTCTGGCCCAGCAGATAAAGGTTGTGGTCCAGCTTGTTGGACATCAGGCTTCCATACTCGGTGAGTGCAAAATGATCGGACTTAGGAGTGAGCTGCAGGAGATGAAGAGGCGGCTAGCAGAGGAGGTCTGGGGCTGCCAGAGCACAGCTATGGGATTCCAGAAAGAGGTAACCGGGATTGGGGGGTGAGTTGCCAGTGTGGATGACCGGTGAAAGGGCCTGAATTACTTGGCAGAGGACCTGGAACAAATCAGGGAGGAGTTGGAGAGACAGTCAAGTGGGACTCTCTCCAGCCATGCTCAGCAGCTGACTGAGAGGAGAACATACACCGGAGTCATAGCCAATACAAGAGGACACCTCTTGTGAATTAATTCAGCTTATAAGAGCAATATTTTTTAAAAAAGGTGAAAAGTAAAGTATGAAACGAAAACGGCAGCTATGTCCAACTGGACTCATAACACAATCTTGAAACTAAGTACATCATAAAGGTGATAAGATGGAATATTTGTTGTAATGGACTTTTATGTAGAACCTCAGTGACTGACTGCAAAGTTTACAGAAAAGTTTGTATGAATAGCTGTTTAATAATGTTCAACTGTTGCCACCCTTTCAATCCAACAGTAGGTAAGGCGCCTGAACTGGAGTGAAGAAAAGATCAGTAAGTCTACTCATTCATTTGTTTAGCAGACTTGGTTTCCTTTAATATATGGTAAAGGGCTGGACTCCTACTGTTTGTTACATTAATTTAAATGGGCTATGTTTATTTAGCTGTAAGCTGATGGGAATATGAGATGGGGGAACGTGACTCGCCCTACCAGCTGTGCAACTGCACCACCTCAGACACCCAGTTAATGCAAAAAAAGGAAAGAGAAGAATATGAGATTAAGGGATTTGTGTGGCTTTTTTGATCTCTTTGTGGTCATTTTATATTGTTTTGCTGTCAGTTTGGGTCCGTTGCATTAAGCTCTTGTTCTGAAACTGAATAAAATTACTGTCAAAAAGGTGGCTTCTGTGGGCATCATCCCTGTACTTTAACCAGTGAAGGAGTATATAGGAGGAGTTTGGGGACTGATTGACAGAAAATTAATTCAACTGTTTTGCTGGGTAATTAATTCATTTTGTAAACAAAAATGCCATAAAATCTCTCTCTAGTTTCAGCTTCTCGTATGTTAATATTTGCTGGTTTTCTTAGACTTTCATGATAACTGAAACAATGACAAACTTCTTTCAGTTTAGGACTGTAGATCATCACAAAAAGGCTTTTTGATCACAGTTAGTCTAGTAATTAAGAAAATAACAGGCATATTAATTGATAATGAACAAAATTAATTGCTACCCTATAATAAATGACAAGTTTATGCTCAAACATTTGAACACAGTAGAAACAACTGTCTCACACACACACACTTGTCAAGACATAAACATTTTAACTTAGCCTATATTAAAGCAGAATTTTTAAAAAATACACCTATTGGAATGGGTTGAATTAAACTGCACCGCCATAGTGTCTTGTATATTTTATGTATAACTTGTGACAATGCACAGGTAGTTTATGCTGATGCTGCCAGGTGTGTGTTTTTCAGCTGAATCTACTGCACCCTGCCACTCTCTTTTTTCACCACTCTCTCAATGATTATGTGCTTAATGCCCTAACGCCCTCTAGTGCATACAATCATGAGAAGCAATGATCAGTCGAATTACTAAGGTAATATTTATATAAATGACTATATAGGCTGATTTTATTTAGAGTAAACCCACAAATTTGCCCCCAAAATCTATTTTCATAATTTGCTGAAGCCTCTACACACCAATAGTCCCACTGTTAGTCCTATTAAAGATCTTCTCAGGTTTAATCCAACCAAACAGGCCTATTCAGTTTTACTATTATATGACATAAAATACCAAGGCAAACACCACTGGCGAAGATGGAAACAGCTAATGTTGGAAATCCATTTTAATGAAAAAAAGAATGACTGAAACAAATAACTGACTAGAGCCTGACAGAATGATGAACAGCAGCCTGTTTGTAGTCAGAAAATGTGGACACCATATTCTCCCAAAAGTCTACAAACGTTTGATTATCACACTGTTCACTTTGTGTTCAAAAGCAGAGACGTGTCAGGTTTGCCCGGCTGCACCTGCCTCTCTCACCTCCCTCACTTTGTTTCTCCTTTTGGCCTCTGATTACACCACCTTGCACACCTGCTCTACACCCCTTGATTATCACCAGGTGCACGTCATTAGTTCTGCCCCTTACTTATACCCGGCTCACCTACCACTTCCTTGCCAGTTCATTCTTGTTCTCAGACCGTCACTATTGCATTTTGTGTTTTACCTTATTCAGTACCTCTCTCCTTGTTTTGTCATTTTTATATATTTGGACTCCCCTGCTGCCGCTCTCCTCCCATTAGTGATGGCCATACAAGGCCCCATGAAGCTTTGAACCCTTTTGGACCATTGTATTGAAAATTGGTTCACTACTCGAAGCTTCATTCATTGAGCACGTGGGTGACATCTGCTGGCGCAGTGGTTGTTGTGCAGCCTTGCAAAGGTGACACTGATGCACCTTGCGTGTGCACTGAGTTTTGTTGTAATGTGGAAAAATCTAACTTCATTTTACGTGTCTGTTTTTCCTCCTTGTCTTATAAAGTATCTGAAATGAAATGTTGACTACCTAAGTAATCCTCCTTCGCCAGGAGCTCTTAAGAATATTGTGATACTAGAGGCTAGACATCAGAACCATTACAATATGAAATGGATTTATAATTATTCATCCCAAATTACACACTGGACAAAGTAAATATTTACAGGGTTCAATGAGGCTGTGGATATAATTAATATTATGATAATATAATATATTATGTGTTCTGATTGTGTTTGGTATACACTGGGTGCGCTTGTGTGACTTGGGCATTTTTATATAAAAAATAATAGTGTCTCCACAGTGGATGGTTTTAGACGATTTCACTTTTTTGAGACAACTTCCCCAGCTTTGGAGAAGACCTTTTCACATGGCACAGAAGATGCTGGTGTCACCAGGAACTGTTTGGCCAGGTTGAACAGGTGTGGGTACAGGGATTTGTGCCTTGACCAGTAACCTAAGGGGTCCTGTGATCTGTCCAGAGGAGGAGCAGACAGATATTACCGAATCTCCACAATGGCATCTGCAGCAGTGTTCTGAGAGTTTCTGGCATCTTCTACATCTTTGTCAAGAAGCTTCCACAGGTCAATGCCTGAAAATAAAACATTACAGGACATTTATAAAGCATTTAATTACATACAAATAAATATATAACTACACATGTGATTAATGGTGTAGCCGGTGTTGATGATGTTGATGGTTGTCGTCATGAGGTGCATTTTGGATTAAGGCAGCGCACTCTGACTTCAAGCGGCGCACAGCTGCATCAGCATTGGCTGGATTGTGAAAGCCAAGTGTTATAAGTATAAACCGTGTTTATGTTGTGTGACAGAGCGGCTCTGTCACTGACTGCGTACACACATCTCACACACACACTTAACGGACAGACACGTCATCCTGGTAGCATTAACAGGCATTGATTTATATTATCCATCAGCTGTTGAGGACAGCGCAAACACTGCCCCTATGAAATCACAATGAGATCAGTGTGTGATTTATTCTTCCTGTGTTTATTCGGAGGGGACCGTAAACTTGGACATCCGTTGTATGAATAACAGACTTGACAATAAGGCTTTAATCTTGGAAATATAATTTATCTTATTCGGTGGCACCAATTCAAAATGTTTCCACACTTCTGACTGTTTCCTTGATGGCTCCATAGCGAGGCAATCCAAAAAGTGTTGACAAGAGGTAGGACAGAACAATGTTTCATCCATCTTAAATACATCTGTATTGCTCCAATGTTTCAAAGCTCCGCCTCTCGAACCAAACCAGTCAGTTGATTCAATGTGAATGACGCAGAAGTGGTTCGAACATCATCAGTCACGTGGTTTTTCCTGATTTGAAGCAAGCTCCGGCACAGTGCTTCAGAAAAATATCCTTCCGAGTTTGAAGCAAGCTTCGGAGCCTCGGTATCAGAGGGAACATCACTACCTCCCATGCCGTCTTCTTCCTCCACGGACTACTACCTCCGGACCTTGGCTCCACGCAACCCTTCCAGTCTACCCCAGTCAGGTCGATGCACAGTCACCAGTTACCATCTGTATAAACTCCTGCTTTTTATCCCCTCAGTAACCTTCACTTCCCACCGACCAGCTCAGGAGTGACCCCAGCGATGCAGCTCGGCCTGCTCCATTACCTCATCACTGAACTGTCATTCTGCTGCTGATCAACACCCGGATTATTCAGTTCATCTACGCCTGCCTGTTTTTGCCATTCACTGCACTGTACAGAATAAATCACTGCTTGCACTGAAGTCAGCCATCTGGATCCGCCTTTCTTTTACTCACTCACTTTCCCGTGTATGAGCAATCATAACATCATGTTGCTAAATATAAAAGACGAGCCTATTTTCTCGAAATACTATTATCAGTTGATGAAGATCAGCGTGATATCACTGCCTCATGTGAATAACTCAAGCTGCACTAACTTAAATGTACCATCATCTGGTTAGGTCATAGCAGTAATATATTAAGTTGGATTTGTGGCAATAAACATTTGTAAAATTAGGCTGCTGTTAGCTGTCATGTCTCTGCTTTGGCCACGTGTAACATTAATGACCTGTGTACAAAGTCCCCAAACTCCTTCAAAATCTGATAGTGTATTTCTTTGTTAGAAACAAACATGCATCATGAAACTAATCATTTCTTGAATGTTAACTTCTCCTGGTCATTTTTCCTTTAGTAGAAATACATTGTTAGTAAATATCATCTTTAACATTAGGTTCCTGCTGCTTTATCTGTTTAAGATTGTTTTACTGCCACAGTGTATACTTATATTTCCATAAAGCCAATATAGATTAAGATGTTAATCTTACCTTCATGTTTTTATAAAACATGAAGGTACCAGTTTGCAGAGCTTCTGATAGTACCCACAGGAGTTGTCACAATCTTAATAACACGACTTTAAAGTAACCATAAAATTCTGGGTTTATTTTTTTCCAGTCTCCAGGCATTACAGCTCATGTCACCATGCAGCCTTAAAGAATTAGGGAGTTTTTCCTCCCTGCTGTCACCAAGTGCTTTTTCAAGGGGGATTAGTTGGGTTTTTCCTCTATTCTAATAATAATAGTAAGCTCTAGACCTTACTTTGTAAAGTGTCCTGAGATGACTTTTGTTGTGATTTGGCGCTATACAAATAAAATTGAACTGAATTGAATTAGTGCATAGTCAAAAGTACAATATGAGAGCTAACACACTAGAAACACATCCACTAAGACTAATCTTTCATTTGAAAAACTATCATATTCATCTTCAGCATTTTAATTTGTTAGATTGTTAGATTATGGCCAAATGTTCCGTGGTGTACTCACATTTCCTGCAATGTATTTCACTCAATGTGTGTGCATCATAACACATTGATGTTAACAGAATATATTTACTTTGCTATAACAGATTATGGTATGTGATTTATGTTACAGTAGTCACAAATAAAGGAGCTTCACCAATATATGTATTATAAATTTAATAGTAATAACTGACATATGCAAACTGATATAAAGTTATGAAAGACTATCCAAAATTATCTGTCGCCTATTACCAACCAGAGAAAGCATAGGCTCTCAACGTGTAAGTACATATCCCCATGCACGTGGAAAGTAAATAGTAAACCAGCATAAGGCTGTGTGATATAACAAAATAAGCAGTATTAACAAGCCACTAGCAGTGCAAACGATGCAAAATAAGCAGTCTAAATAGGCAGTAAACAATGCAGACAAACAAAGGAATGCTCATTGTGAGATAAATAGGAATAAAAATAGAGTACTTAATAATAGAGACCTGTATAATCTGTATACACAAGTTACACATAATGAACCACAAACTGGAGAACAATACATTTATTCGTCAAACTATTGCTGTTACATGCAGAAATACAACTCATAAACTCACTAATACTACCGTAACATTCATGAACGAGCTGTTCCGTGTCCAGAACGCGCTAAGCTCGCTCACACTTGCCCGGCAGGTACCGGAACGACACAAATGCGCATGTGTAGTGGGCCGCACAACGCGGAAGCAAACCCTGAATTGTATTTTATTTTATTTAGTATTATTTTATTTTATTTGTTTTTGGTGAATGCATAGCTATCACGTAGTTGTTTCAGCTCTACAGTTAATTACTAGCAGAGCTCGACCGGGTTTCCACCTGACTGGAGGTCTAATCAGGTTGCATTCCATCTTGTGAACAACAAAGTGTTAATGTCTGTGTTTATGAAGCTCAAAATGTTTCAGTTTTTGGTGAGATTATCATAAATGTATACATTCATTATATGTTTGTATTATTTTTAAGGTCATAGTTAAAGGTGGTGTTGTACTGGACTACATTATACTTAGAGGTGTTTCTATATAATTTCCCTCCCCAGCTACGTGCATGAACAGTGAAACCGGTAACAGGCAAGAACTAACTGTGGATTATAGTTTCTCCACAAATGCCACAAAATGATCCAGCATAATGAATGATTGACAAAGAAATCTCACCAATAGCTAACGTAGTTGATATAAATAGTCCTGCCTATAACATCGCGATAGTCCAATCACAGTGCTCTGTCCAGCTAACATGGGCGGGACACTTACATTCCCGACAAAAGGTAACAGGTTGTCCTTGCAGTATAATTAAGTAGTTGCTGTGGCACTTTGCGTGGCGGTGGGTTTTTATTTGTTTTTGTTTTTTTTTTACATCCGCCTCTCTGTGTGGACTTTGATGGATGACAGTGAATATATTTGAAATGTCATCGAAATAGGGGTTGAACCTTCAAAGAGGTGCTAAGGAATAACTTTACGAAAGAGGTAACTTTACGTTTGGACTTGTACTTCACATAGCCAGACAGACTGTTATGTGCTTTGAAAATGTTTTCTGACTGATGCTTGTTTCTTTGTCCAGGTTAGTTCTGTAACAGTTTCTCATAACATTGTGTCACTTTCTGTTCGCCGCTTGGTAGCTAACATTACTGTAGTTTGATGGGTCGACAGAAAGGCTCGCTGTATTTCCAGTGCTCCAAGCTAACGTTTCTTCAGGATACTTCAATATGCCTGTTGTGTGAAATATACAGTATGTGAGACATGTCTGCAAATGTTTGTTAAAGTTATAAATACTGTCGGGCTGACTGCACGTGAATACTCCCAAAATATACAAATGTAATAGTACAGGAGTTTCAGGTATGACATAAACTGTGTCTCTGCCCTGTGATTCCAGGGGGATTTGTCATTGGATACACTGAGACACATACACAGTCTTTGAATGTAACTATATTTCACATACTTGGCCTTGAATCTTGGCAACACAGTAATAAAACAGCCTGATATGTATTCACTAGAAACACTTGTTGCAAATTTCGTAGAGCAGTTTTGTAAGTACTATAACATTACAGAAAGGGTGTTCTAGATTAAAGCTGGAGGCAAATAAAGCTGGTGCCACAGGCAAGAACGAACTGTAAATTATAGTTTTGAGGTGCTAAAACTCTGTAATTATACCAGCAAACCTGCAGCACATCAGATGTGGCTTTATTTTCAGAGTGAGCATAGCAAAAATCTGGTGGTAGTAATTCTTAAAGGTTTCTCCAGTCTTGAAGTACAAACACTCAAGTGTTCAGATAAAATCCCATAAGCATTCTCTTTATCTCTCTCACACTCACACATACACTCAGTGAGTGTAAATGAGAAGGCCAAAGAGAAATAAGTGCCTGGAATGTGGTCGAAGGGAGCGCTGTAAATATATATATGCTCCTAATATGGTGTAATTTGTGTACTATTTGGTAACACTGAAGCCCCGCTTTGTTATGCCAATGGATTCCTCTAGATTTGAAAAGAGGAATAAATGGCTGTTTGTTGTAGTGTGAAAGACGAGCAGTGGCAAGTTTGGAGAGAGAGGATGAGCGCTGGAGAGAGGATGAGGGCCTGGTTTTATGTCAAGAGCAAGAGGAATACTGTGAGGACCGAGTGGCCGCTTGCTCCTTAAGGACAGAGAAGGAGTAAGCTACAGTTCTATCCAGCATTGGCATTTACACTGTAATGTTTCTGTTTTCTAGTTTGTTCCTTTAATGATTCACCTGGATGAATAGTGGCAAAATATTGTTTTACAGCAGGCTTGCCTTTATAAGAGGCTGTAAACTGGTGCTGAAACAGTCAGTTGATTAGTCGATTTTTCAGTCAACTAGAGCTGCAGCTAATGATTATTTTCATGATTGATTATTTTTTTAAGTTGATAATTTGCCACAGACCAAGGTAACATTCAGCGCTCAAATATATTCATGTATGGGGAAAAAGTGCATCTAGCGCTATATTAAACACAACACATACAAAATTGCAGGCCTATGCATAAGTTTTGACTCAGATAATCTTCAGCATTTGCTGCTATCTCTAGCTGTATCAGGTTTAAGGCCAGGTCAGAGGTGATCAAATCGCATGAACCTTGATGACTCAGTGAACCAACAGAGGCACTTTCATGACTCCACACATCTCTGTTGTTTCATTTCTCTCCACACCCTCTGTAATCTCCTAATCATATGTTCCAGTGGTTGGTTCTTAACAGGGAAGCAGCTCCAATTCCATTTACTGAGCAAGAAATCGGTTTGAGGTCAGAGGCTGGGGTCTTGTCAGCGAAACTGCAGGGTATCGCATCAGGCGGCAGAATCAGATGGCACCAGACAAACACTCTTGTTTGGCCAAGCAAGCCTGAAGAAGTTGGTCTGTCACATGCTATTAATGATACATGTGTGGGCTAGAGACCTTTGCTTTGGTTTGGAGCCAGTGTTTTTGGATTCGGCAGCATATAGCCAGTTAAAAGGAATACAAAAGCTGCAATTTAAGATTATTTGCATCATTAATGAATTATTTAAATGGTTGCAACTACATCTTCTTCAGCATAGCAGCTCTGAAGGATACAGAGCAATACAATAAATAACATTAGGTGTGTGGCATATTAACTCCACAGCACAGACAGTATATACCCAAATGAATTATAGAAGACATTAAACAATGTCCTAACATCAGTGTAGAGAGTTGTGGAAAGAAACAGTTTTTGACAGGCAACTAAAAGGGAGGGTGTACTGGGACAAAAAAATGTCATTGTTGAAACAAATTTTTAATTATAGTCAATGTAAGGGGGTGAGCCAAAGAGCACAGCGCTAGTTCTGGCATTCTCAGAATTGTCAACCTGATTTTCTGCCCCAGATCAGCTGGACAATAGGATGGGTTCCCCCTCACCTCTGTTTCTCCTGGAGCTGACAGTGTCTTCTTCTCTTGTGATGAAGAAATGCAGACTAAAAGATATTAAAACTTTAGTTTGACTTTGCAGTTGCTTTTCTGTAAGTTAGTTGGGGCCACTCATAGAGTCTGCAGATGATATCTGTCTTGTCCAGTTATCAGCACGTGAAATGTTTGCTTGACCTTGTAGGGACAGTGGGCTGCAGACTTCATGCCCGACTTCACAAATGTGTTGTGACATGGTGCTTCCTTTGTGGCTCTCAGAGGGTGCGGTGGGGGGGTCGACCTAACTGTGCATGCCTTATGAACAGGTCTGTGTGTGTACAATGCTTCTGCACTACAAGCACCCAGATACCTTCAGACATCATTTATATGATGTTGCTCCATTCCACCCTGCTCCACCTTGAGCTCTTCTTGCTCTGAAGTTGTTCTGTATATTTGCATTCGCCATCATAGTCAAGATGTATCTCTTTGCTCTCTCTCGCTCTCAGAATGACTTGGCTGTTCTGGGCTGTGTCACACAGCTTCCAAAGTCTGTAGGGAAAAATAAAAGCATGTGTATGTGTCAATGTGGAACAGTTATCTGTTTGATGGTAACGTTTGTTGTCCTTTGTGTGTGGGAGTGATCGCAGGAACAGCTCGACTCTGGATTTTATCACACAAGGCACTGATAAGAGTAGGGTGTGTTTTATTTCGTTCCGTCTCACTTCACCCTCCCTTGCTGTCAACCCACCTCCCGTCTCTCACCTTGAAAAACTGTTGAGAAGAAATGAAAAGCACAGAGGAGGTCAGGAGGGGGTGTTTTAATAGGTTTAAAGTGGGTTTAATGAGCCATACCATTGTAATGACACAGGAATGGGTTCTTAATTTGTGACCCAATAGTCAGTTCATGTAACACGGATGTTCAGTACTTTTAAAGAATCAGATAAGGTTGGCTGTGACTTATAGCTAGACTTTGAAATTAAGAATGAGCAATTGAAGTGGAAGAGGATTAGAAATATTCAAATGCTATCGGGAACAAACAAACAAAAAAAAAAACAGAGAAATTGTAGCGTGAAAGAATGAAAAAGGTCATGGTTGCTATGCATCCATTTGATTTTGAGTTGCCAAAGCAGTGTTGAGGGAATTCGCTTCTGGTGTCTGGCTGGGAAGCTTCCAAAAGTTGAGAAAGGCTTAGCTGGCCTTTACAAGGGGGAAAATGATATGTGGGTGTGTACTCAGGTTAATGGCTAATGGAGTGCACTGAGGGCATGGTCCACACAAGCAGAAACTAAGTGTAACTTCCTGTAAATCTATGTCGCTGTATTTGTTCAAAGCAAGGCTGTATCTCTGAGTCTAACAAGATCTGACACTTCAGGTTACTTGCTAATGAGTGTCTAGGTACTATTTGTTTGAGTTTCTGTATTGAGGAATTGTGTTGAACTTGTTGTTAACCTGGCTATTGACTGTATTGTAGCAGTATTTTGTTCTCTGCATTCCAGAGCCTTTTATTGTGACTACACTGGATTTTTTTGTGGCCGATAATAATATGGATATATGCATGTTTAAAAAATTCAATAACAGTCCATTGGCTGATAGCAGTTTTTAAACATAAGCACATCGACAATCTTGATACAGGCTCTTTAAAGAGGCCATGGCATGCTCATTTCCAGCCATTTAATGTTTAATCTTGGGTACCATTCATCATAACGCCAAATAGTCTGTAATTATTTCACAACGATAAAACCAGATAGCCTCTTCCTAAAAACGAGAGTATAGTTCATGAACACATGCAACTCCTGCTGCTGGTGTTGAATTGAAAGTGGACGGCAGACACGATGAACTTCAACAGCATTAATTAATTTGAATTTATCCTCCATAGATAGGTAAACAAGTGTATATGTACCAATGAAGAGAGACATGTAACACTCTAAACAAAGTGGGTAATTGAGAAAGCCCATATATTAACTGGCATAATGCAGACATAGTAACTTCTCCAGCCTTACAACAATTCTTTATAACTTTACAGAAACAAATCATTAGTAGACATGCAACGTGTTTTTTTTTTTTTTTCTTATCTATCCATCCATCTTCTTCCTCTTATCCGAGACCGGGTTGCGGGGTCAGCAGTCTAAGCAAAGATGCCCAGACTTCCCTCTCTCCAGACACTTCCTCCAGCTCCTCCGGGGGAATGCTGAGGCGTTCCCAGGCCAGCCGAGAGACATAGTCCCTCCAGTGTGTCCTAGGTCTTCCCCAGGGCCTCCTCCCGGTGGGACATGCCTGGAACACCTCCCCAGGAAGGCGCCCAGGCGGCTTCCAAAACAGATGCCCGAGCCACCTCAGCTGTCTCCTCTCGATGTGGAGGAGCAGCAGTTTTTTTTGTTTTTTTTTTAACTATTAAGTCCCACCGAGTAGTGGAAACATCACTCAATTTCAAGTAGGTCCCAGGTTGGTAAATCCAACCAGTGGTTGCTGTGTCTTCCCTCACATGACCACATACAGCCCCAAAGTGTTGATGAGCTGATCATTCAGCACCATGGGGGCTTAACTGGCTGGCTGCTTGTAGGTTAGACCCGGTCATGTAAAACAGCGGGTCCATGTACAGGGACATTCTTGAATATGCAGTAACCTCAGGCCCTGCATTTTTCTCCATATCCACAGTGCAGCAGGAGGAGGTAAAATATATCCACAAAACCACACACAGTTGAAAAATTCCTCTTTTACAATGGCACAGGTGGATGTCAGGCAAGCTGACATGAATGTGCAACTGCCTGGAGATTTTGATCAAGGAAATCCTTAAATTATCGCGTAATACTTAATTTTGTTAGAAAAAAGTCTCATGAGTGAGAGTTTGCAAGACTTGTTGAAACTGAGTTGCTTCTACATAGAAGTACTAGAACATACAGTACGTACACTTTATTTTTTGAGCTTTGGGTTGCGTCTATGATGATTCATCATTGTAATAAGTAAAAAAACAAGGAAAAGCATGCCATGGGCTCTTTAAAATTTGTTTTAGATTAAAGAATTATGATGACAATACATACTGAGTGGGACATTTTACAGGACTTTGAAAAAGTGAACTTGTCGGTTTGGTGGACAAACTATGACATGGTTTCTAAATTGCCTCAGTTCTTAATGATCTTATAATTGTATAGTACCTTTCTATGCATTACAGCACACTCAAAGCGCTTTCACACTATTTGGCCATTCGCCCATTTACACTCACTCATTCACATACCAGCAATATCACACGGAGCAAGTGGGAGTTCACCGTCTTGCTCAAGGACACTCTGACATGTGAGCTGCAGAAGCCGGGAATTGAACTACCAAACTTTCAGTTAGGAGACGGCCCACTCTACTGACTGAGCCACAGCTGCCCACGGTACTGCAGTTTCTTATCTGCTCCCATATTCTGTACACCAGAGCCAGTATATCTGCGATAACCTAATATCAGCTGATACGTTGTATTGACTGCTTTGTCAGTCTAGTACTGATTGTCACTTCTTGTACCTCATGTTGTTACATGACAGAACAGAACCTCCAGCACCTTGGTTTAGATGTTTACTAGTTTGGATATGATATTTTGAGACTAAAGCTAATATGTAACCTGAAAGTCTGATGCATCATGTGCTCTTACCCTGATTTCTGCTGTGTTACCAGGATGAGCGCGCCAGTGGACTGCGGCCTCCAGATCCGCTTCATCAATAACCTCGGTGACACTGGTGGGGGGCAGCCTGGATCCCAGCCCAAGCCCAAGACCAAGACCACCTCCAAATATGGTGTGGCTATCAGAGTGCAGGATATTGCTGGCCAGCCGTATGTGTTCCTGAAGGATGGAGAGAAAGGAGACTCGTATGGAGTCCAGCTCAGGACCCAATACCCTTCTGGCTACAGTAGCCTTCCTCGGAGGAGAGAGAAGGAAGAGCCCAGAACACAGAGGGCATATGTGGGAGGCGGAGGAGGGCAGGGAGGGGCACTACGCCGCGCCCAATCCCATGGGTCACTACTAGAAAGGGATGGAGAGGGAGGGGTAGGCCATGAGGATTTTCAGATGTCTAGGCCTCCAGGGGACGGGAAGTCTGGTAGTTATGGGAACCTGGATGGAGGATTAGGAGTAAGAGGGGAGAGAGAGCACACTCGGCGTGTCAGTGGCAGAGAGGGGAACATGGGAAGAGATATGTGGGATGGTTCATATAAAGCAGGGCTCAGTGAGTCGCAGGGGTCATTGAGGGGCAGCCAGTCCAGTCCTGACCCTCCTCAACAAACAAGTGAGCTTCACTCTAATCAGAGACAGACATCTGTCAGCAGACTAGTAAACAAGTTTGATGTTAACACTGGGGTCCAGCAAAGAGGCCTTCCTCCTGCTCAACAAGATCCCAGAGCTGAATCTCCTCTCCTCACCAACCCCTATACCTCACCCACGCCCTCAACTTGCAACACTTTTGGACGCAGCCAGGCCACCGTCACCAAATTTCCTGGACACTCTGCTTCTCAGTGGACTTCACCAGGGAGATATGCTACTGTGGAGACACCGCAGGCCAGTCTTACTGAGGCACAAGTAAGAATGGGAGCTTTTCTACTTGGGCATTACAGCTCATTTTCAGTGAGTATGCGACATCACTAAAGTAGTTTTTGTATCTGTTTCCGATCTCTCTGTCTTAAGGTGACCCCTGACCTTTTGTTGGACCAGAGTGCAGAGGTAAACAGTGAGGACGAGCAGGTCATGCAGACAATATACAACATCCTGAGACAAGGGTACGGACCTCCATGTCATTGTTATTTTCCTGTTACTGGACTGACTGTTCTTTAAACTTGTGTCACAGTGAAATGTTAATAATGTTAAGTAGTTAATCTTCATTTTTTTTCCCCCCTTCCTTCAGAACTAACGACAGTGATGTTATCATCAAGCACAAAGTCAAGCTCATCTTTCAGAAGATTCAGAATATGAAGGTTTGCCCTTTTTGAAAATATTGAATTCTGTGGAGGGCTTGTTTTTGCACTGGTTTAAATGTCAGATAAAGAAATAGTATGAGCAAACTGCTTATGTGTACTCTAACACCTTTTGCTTCAGCTCAAAGAAATCCCTAGAGAACAGTGGATGAGAGAGAAGAGGGAGCTTGAGAGAAAGATGGCTGAACTACAAACTGCCCTGCAGGATTCAAGAAGGGTAATTAAAGCAGGAATTAAGATAAAGGCATAGAGAGTTTTATACCATTAACACGTCCAGTGCAGCTGAAATGTTTCCTTATTTATACTCTTTTCTAGTGGATACAACACAATAAAAATCTTACTATAAATAGCTTCCAGTGTGTGCCCAGAATATAGATTGTATTTCCCCTGAGTCTCTTCTTTCTTTTTTAGCTTCAAAACCCATATTAGTTAAGGAGTCAGTCTGCAATGCCCAACCTAAGGTGGAGGGAAACAACATATTAAGGATGTGTATTAAGAGTTTTTAAGTTGTTACTGTAGTTTGTGTGCCTTGGATGAGCCACCCAGCCCTCATAAATATTGGGATATACTGATTAGAACTGACTGCCACCACAGGACGTTCAGAGAGTAATCTGCCACCTTAACTAAGCTCTGATTACATGGAGCACATCCAGTGCTGTACGTAAACACTCATCCAAGTCTCCTCGACATGAGAGCACCATGTATCAAATGAACAAAGTAGGTGTTGGTTGGTTGAAAAAAAGAAACTAGCCTCAGAGTTTTAATTTCTTTTTAAGTAATGTAACCAGGAGGGCTGGGGGTTCATTGGAGTGTGCTTCAGATTAATCCTTAAAGCCCTCTGGCCTTATCAGAGGTGCACACACACAACAATCTAACTTCAACAACTCATTATATGTTGGCTTAAGGAAGTTGGGCAGGTCTTAATCTCTAATAGCTCCTAAGAACTTAATGCTTCATTCATATTGATTGGTGGGCAAATGGAAGCCCGTTTTAATCCATTGCTAAAGCTCATTGCTTATGCCACCAGAGCTACATGATGTCTTGTGTTTCACTGCTCTCATTTATTCATCATGTTTGCTCATGTGTAGGACTCTGTTAACAATCCTGATCCTGCCCTGAAAGCTGAGCTAGAGTCTTGTCTGGATGAAAATGTGCAACTCCAGGAGATGCTGGACCGGAAGAAAATAGAATTGAATGAAACACAATCAGAGTGAGAACACCACTGTACACACACATCCCCAGAGGAAAGTGGGAAAGGGGCATTGTACGGTTGTCTTGTGGTCAGGAGTAAGAGGTGGCGTGACAAGCCCACTTCACTTTCAAGCACATACTCCTCACAGTTTCATGAACAAGCAGCATCTACATCTTATTCACAAGCCCAAACAAGTGTGTCACAGTCATTTGAATTAGAAGAATCAGTCAGTAATGTGTATGTTCTCCTTTTTTTTTTCCTTGCAGGCTGACTCAGCTGCGTATGGATAGGGAAAGTGCAGAGGCACAGGTCAGAGAGATGGAGGACCAGCTGGCTGAGTTTCAGGATGAACTGAGAAGAGAAAACGGCAACAAGACGGTACCACAGAAACATGCCCACACAGATATACCGGGAGAAATGATCTCACCCCACTATTCAATTTTTTTTAATGAGCTGAGACCCAAATCTAGACTAAATTGCTTCTCTAGACTGCAGAACAATAGGTACCACTGTGTATTCCCCATGTCTACAGGACCTGATGTCCTGTCAGACACAGCTAATGGAGGTCTGCCAGCTGAAACAGAAGGTGGAGGAGACACTAAGGCAGAAGGAGAGGGAGCTGACAGCTCTGAAAGGAGCTCTGAAGGAAGAGGTGGCCACACACGACAAAGAGATAGAGGCACTTCGAGAGCAGTACAGTGCTGACATGGAGAAGCTCCGCAGCAGCATGGAGCAGGTGTCTCAGGTACACAGCCACAGCTGAACAACACTCAACAAAAGACTTCCTGAGCAAACGTGTGGTACCATTTTGGCTTTTAGTAAATTCTTAATGAGAGATTTACAAGAGTCAGCTTGGAGAACATCATGTCTCATTGAAAGATATTTTGACAGGATACATGTAGAGATCAAATCTAAGTGTAAACAAGCTACACACACATTATTTCACAGATCTGGTATTGTGAAAGTTAAATACGTTTCACAGTGTATACATAACTGGTTAATTCTTATCTGTTAATGTTTCTGATACACCTAACATTAATCTGGCTTGTAGATATTTTTTACCATTATAATCTAATTCCATGCTGCAGAATCTGAGCAAATGTGGATTTACTTTATGGCTTAAATTTTTAAACAAGGTCCGCTTCAGTTTCCTTACCGCTTATTTTTTGAAAGCACCTACATATACAGTAACTAGTAACTGATATCAACAGAATAATATAATGTCTTTTGAGTACTGTAATAAAAGATGATAAAGCCTAAGGACAAAAATCGTATCTGCAGATGAGGAACTGCATGCAGGTTGCACAGTGTAGCTGTATTTCCACCACAAATTGTGTCTGGTTTACTGGAAAGAAACATCATTTTCATTTAAATCATGCTAAATGCTCAAAGTTCTTCCATCTCCTATTTCAGTCTCATGCAGGGATTGAGGCAGAGAGGTTGCGTGTCAATGCATCAGTTCGCTCCCTACAGCAGCAGTTGGAGGACTGTAGAGATGAGAGCAGCCATTGGATGGCGCAGTTTCATGCCACCAGAGACGAACTTCGAACAACTAAACAAGAGTGAGTTACAGACATTTACACACATCATGTTGATCAGTGTATTCGTCATTACCTGGGTTACATGGATTTCGTCACCCTCTGTACATCATTTAATTTTGCATTGCTTTACTGCTAATGTGTGTACATCTCTTCTTTTTCTTTCTATCTGGTCATTGTTTCTCCTTCTGTCTGTCAGAGAGCCACCCAGCAGCCCTGAAACACTGTGAGAGTCAGAATAGCATTTTGAATTGAACACCATATGTGTTTAGATATGCAGAGCTGTAGATGTGGCTAACAACTGTCTCGCTGTAGCGTCAAGGCCATCCACACTTGCAGCCCTACACATCCCTTTATGACTGTTTCCATCCGAACCCACATGTTCTGTATTCAAATACAGACTGTCCACGCTGACCTACATGGGCCACAGTCTGAACGTGGACTATTTAATTCAACTCCTAAGCAAAAGTTGTCTAAAGCTTCAGCGGAGGACATTTTGACATTTTACATTTTCTTCATTTTTTAATTTTCTGTATCTAGTGGATTCAGTTATTTTGAACAATGCATGCAAGACGGGTGGTGTTGATGGTCTTATAAGGCTGTGTGTAACAATAAATATCTTCCAAATTTTTTAACTTGATTTTTTTTTTTCTGTTGTTAAATAATGACTTATTTGCTCAGTTTCTCAGTGAAAGTAAATTACAGTCATGATTCATCTCTACAATCCAACTTCTGCTGATCAGATAATCAAGTGGTACTTAAAATAATTCTATATGATATAATTTGTTGAGACCATATATGTATATGTACACTTTTCAGGTTCCTGCAAGCTCGCCTGGAAAAAGAGGAGTTTGAGGAGGAGCTGAAGGTCTTACAGGAGAAAGTGGGCACCATGAAACAAGAGATACCAGACCCTAGCCACACACAGAATCTTAATCAGGTGCAATAAATGCACTCACAGTTGTACACAATCGCTGATGCACAGGTGATTGACCCGATCTGTTTAATTTAATGATCAAACCAATCATATTCCCATTCAGGAGCTCCAGCGTTGCACTGCTGATCTTCAGAGGGCCAAGGCTGAGTTGGAGAAGCACAAGACCGAGTGTGACAGGAAGGTCCTGGAGGTTATTGCCCTAAAAAATTCTCACCTCGACCAAGAGGCAGAACTAAAGTATGAGATTGGCAGGTTAAAGAACCAGTTACAGAGGGCCAAAGAGGACTTCACCAAGGTGCAGGAGAAAAACAAACAGGTTGGTTTCATCTCAAAGTTGAGGGTTTCAGAACCCTAAAGGGATTGTATAAATCTTTGTGAGGTTATAACGCTATAAATGGAACTGATTGCCAGGCTAGCAATGTGTACATGGTAGTTTTGATGTTGAATATGATGATGACATGGTTTTAAATCTCTTGTATTTTTTTGACTAACTTTGTCTTCCTGCCTGTAGCTTCCAGACCCAACCATCATTTCAGAGCTGGAGCAGAAGCTTGGTGAGGCACGTAATGAAGCTAGCCAGCTCAAACAGAAACTCTCACTGGCTGAGGAGGAAATGGAGGCCAGTGAAACACGTTTCAGTAGAGCTCAGATGGACCTTAAATCTCTCCAAGATGCCCAGCAGGAGCAGGAGGAGGCCAACACACGACTCAAAGAAAAACTCTCACGGTTAGAGGTGAGATCACGTCCTCACAAACAGGGTTGTTGCCCTGGAAGCAGTAGGCACATGAGGCTTAATCGGACATCTTCTGTGGTTTCCTCAGGCTCAGCTGCAGACCAGTGCCACAGAAAGCTCGGAGGCAGAGCTCGTCCTCCACGCTGAGATGAGAGGGCTGAGATCTGAGCTAGATGAGGCCAAGAGAAAAGCATCCAGACTAAGTCAGGAGAACTGTGAACTCAGCCTGCGCCTGGAGGATGCAGAGAAAGACAAGGAGCCACTCAAACAAAGCATCAGCCAGCTAGAAGACACAAAGCATCAACAGGAGAGGGATCTGGAGAAACTCAACAAAGAGGTGACAGATCCTTTCTATACCTTTGCAAATGATGAAGCCTCTGTGGTCTGGAACAGTAGAAAATACAAAGCTAGAAAAAAATTTTCATTTTCATTTTGTCTCCTTTCCTTCCCTGTCTCCTTGTCAGTATGAGTCTCTGACCATATCCTCAAGAGAGGAGGTGCAGGCTCTCAGGGTTCAGATGGAAGAACAGAGAGAGAAAGCACGCAAGGAAATGCAGGAGCTGCAACGTCACGGAAACAACGCTCAGACTGAGCTAGACAGAAACCAGTTAAATCTGAGGAGATTGGAAGAAGAAGTGTGTTTGTGCTTTGATTGTTTGTTTATGTTTTGAGCATTCGTGTGCATGTGTATTCACTTGCTTCGCCTGCTTGTTTTTATGTTTGTGATTATGATAGTCATGTGTGGGTTCCACATAATATTCATGGTGCATGCTTGACTGGTTGTATTTATGCAAGACTGATTGCATTCATGCAAACCGCACGCATACTGTATTTGTCTCATGATGAACATTCAGTCTGGCGTGACTGTTTCTAATATTATGATAAATCTAACCAGATTTCACGACAGAAGAAGGAGCTTCTGCTTGTATGTGAGGAGAGGGACAACCACCAGCTGGATAAGGAGCTGCTTGTCAACAGATTGCGCCACCTTGAGGGGGAGTTAGAGGCCAGCAAAAACAGCCACAATGAGAAAACCCGGGAGAGTCGCATCCTGGAGGTAAGATATGCGTCTGCTTACCTCATGGTTTGAGAGAATAAACCCTCTGGGAAACTTAACCATGACTACAGCTGGCAGCAGTTCTGCTCTGCATGCATTGTTAGTATGATAGTCTATACATGTTTGGATACATTTATACATAATTCTTTCATTCATCTGTAAGTTAAACAAAGTTATTGGATTATACTTGTGTACTGGACGTATGCTCCATCAGTTTGTCAAAAATCTGGATATTTGTCAGAGGTTGACATCATAGAGTACTTTTTACTTATATTCCAATTATGATGATTGACTTCATATATGTGTATATTTACTGTGTTTCTCTGCTACAGTATTTACTGTCTCCCCTTAGATTAGCAAGTGTGATAATGCCTCTTGCATTTAAAGTAGCACAAGGGATCAACATCATGATGATAAACAGGTCACACAACCTTCATAATTGCAATGTAGCAAAAAACAATTGGAAGCAAAACTTGTAAGTATGTATTATTTAAGATGAGCTGGGTGACCTGTTTATGCCTTGCTTAGGCTCACACTGCTCTGGGTTGTGTGTGAAGTTTAACAGATCAAGATTCCAAACTCTCCATTAATTGTCTCTCACTGAGGACACATCCAGTACACAAAAGGCGAATCCCAGTTCCCCTAATTGCATTCACATTCCACTTGCGTCTTAGTCCTGCCTCTATTCGATGCAAGGCCAAACTGCAAGGAGAGAGGAACCAAGGAAGCATGTGTAAACTGGCATGAGATGTCCTTTCCTCTAATCCTTTATGTGAAGCATCCAATCACAAACTGCTTTCCAATAAAAGGGTGTGTCCATTTGTAACAGACTTCCACAAATGATGCATTCGTGTCTTCTGTTAATGGCTCCTCCAGGCAGCTTCCTCAGACCTCACTCGGAGCAGAAATAAGAAGAGATGGGACATCCTTCATCAAAATAAGGGAACTGGGATTCATCTACAGTCTCCTTTTAAGCACCTAATAAACTTGATCTCGTCTCTGTCAGGACAAGCTGAAGCATGTGGAGTTGGAGCTGGAGGAGGAGAGAAGCAATGTGGAGATGATGACAGACCGAATGACCAGGAGCAGAGACCAGATCGATCAGCTTCGGTCTGAGCTCATGCAGGAGAGGTCCTCCAAACAGGACCTAGAGCTAGACAAAAATGCCATGGAGAGACATGTAAGTGCACGTGTCCCATCTGTGTCTGCTGACATTTGTGATCGTCAGTCACTCAAGTCTTCAATCTGCCAAAATACACTATCACTTGCAGCTTCACTTCAAATCTAAATACAGCGAAGGTGCAGGTCCAACACTTAGTCATCCCCTTGGAGTATTGTTGACCTGCTGTTTGCACTGTCTGTCCCTGCAGCTGAAGGAGCTGAGGTGTCGTGTTGCTGACATGGAGGGCCAGTCGCGCTCCTCAGCAGGAGTCTCCCAGCTGGAAAACAAGATCCTGGAATTGGAAGAACGCCTACATAGCGAGGAAAGGTGTAGTACAGTGCACCAGACAGGAAAAATTGTTGCATGGATACAGTTTGGCTTAGGAGCAGTTTATTATATATTGGTGTTGACCCCAGTATAGGTTTTTATTTGAAATTAGAGAGCTAGCACCATATCAGAAGGGGACATTTTCAAATCGTTCTGCTTCATATTAATAGAGTTAAAACCAGACTTTCCCATATTGCCTTTTAGCAGCTTGATGAGAGCAGTGAGGTGACGTGCTTTCTTGTATATGTTAAGGGAGAAGAACTCTGTGTTGGCGTCTCAGCGACGTCTGGAGAGGAAAGTTAAAGAGCTCAACATGATGCTGGATGAGGAGAGACAAACGCACACTGAACAGAGAGACCAGGTATACACATCCACCATCTACTCTGTCAATATTTTAACCCAGAGAAGTGAGACTGCATCTGCTTGGTACATCAAACACATACACTACACTACACTACACTTATGCTGTGTTGTAGCTTGCTCTAAGAGTGAAGGCTCTAAAGAGGCAGGTGGATGAAGGAGAGACAGAGCTGGAAAGGATAGATGGGCTGAGGAGGAAAGCTCAGAGAGACATGGAGGAACAGATGGAGCTTAAAGAGGCCCTGCAGGCCAGAGTCACTGCACTGGAAACTGAGCTCAAGTAAGCATTCCCTTTTCTTTGTCTCTGTTTTTGTTTTGTTTTTTTTTCTCTCATCCAATTTTTTTACTCAGTGTGAGCTTTTAGTAACAATTATGCAAGACACTTTCTGACAGCCAGATTATCACAGCGGTGTGAGTGTGAGTAAGAGAGAGACACTGCTCCCTCTCCCTCCTCCTCATGTCACAGAATGAATAAAGCTGCATGTAAATGACATTACTTGTGAACCAGGATAATTCAGAATCACATACACCTGGTAGCAATTCACACAGCCTTGCTGGAGCAAAGTGTTTCACAGTGTGGCGTGCATAAAGCCGAGGTGCTATCACAAGTGGGGTAATTAAATCCCAGATGTGCTCCTGCTAGTAGCAAAGAAATGCATGTTGTTTCATTATATTGCCAGTAGAGGGAGAACAGTATCACTTTCAGGCTGATTATTCCTGACTGAGCAGGCTGTATTGAAAATCTCTGGCAGCACTACAATTTGTGAATATGGGTAGTGATGAACAGATAAGTATAATATGTTTCAACAGTTAATGTGTAGAAGGATTATACTAATGATGTGTTGCAGGAGGAAAGCTCAGGCAGCAATGCGCCCAGCTTTGGATTCATCAGCCCTCAGCTCGGACGATGACGACAGCCTGTACGACCCCTCGGCCATCACCTCCATCCTCACTGAGAGCAACCTGCAGACCAGCTCCTGTTAAAGCAGCACTTCAGGGACAGGAAGAGGGTGGGACAATGTGGCACTGTTTGAAGAAAATGGAGGGAAGTATAGGTTATCTGCTTTGTAAATTGGAAGCTACGCCAAAAGGCAGGCTGGATACAATAAGCTGCATATTATAGAGGTTAGCAGGGGAGTCATTCTCCACACTGAAGTGAATGGAAAGAAACAAAACATTCTTTTCATTTCAGGAACTTCCTTCAGGCTACAGTGTGCACACATGTACCTCACACTACAGTTGGATCAAATTTATGCACATAGTATACCACCAAACATATAGCACTACACGAGGTATTCCAACATATAAAACACAGTCACTATGGCTGGATAAAAATAGCATAAATAGAAAATACCTCTTGTTTTTTTGTTTGTTTTTGGTACAAATACAGTGTGTCAGTTCGTTTTAGGGGTAAGATTCTGGCGTCAAGCACTTACGGTTTTAAGTCGGGCTATGACTGAATAACAAATAATACTCATCATTTCCTGGTCCATTTAGTTTACATCTTAAACTTAGGCTTTCTCCGTAGCACAGCCATCCACTCACTGAACCTACAAATTCTGCACCATGCACAAAAGTTAAGTAGAACTACTGGAAGACTTGGACCAAACGATGACACCGAGTGCATTAATGATAGCCACAACTGACTGAAAATCTTCATGCTGATTTTGTGAAAGATAATTTTTCCTGAGGAAATCTAATGGTTCAAGTACTGCAAATGATTCTTGATTAACTGAAAATCTGAAAATAAATGTGTTTTTGTATTTTAACTATGGAGTAGGTCTGTCCTCTGCCTGAAGATAGTGTGGGACACCAAACTTCACTGTCACATGGTACAGATTCTAACAATTCTGGATTTTAAAATCTAGTAAAGTGAATTCAGTACCATCTGGAGGGAGGAGGTTCTCTAACGGTACTTTTAAGTCTTGCAAATTCACTAGGGTTGAGATGGACAGAGTCGATGGTGGGCTTCGGATCATGATAGGCTCTGGCTCCCCATGTTAAGAGTACTGCTGAATGCCATGGAGGTGTATATGTTCAACATGTTGACCAGGATAGCGGGTGCTGAGGTGGGCCAGATAGCAGCTGTGCCTGCCTGGACCGTGTTGACACAACAGCATTAGAATATGCTGGATGTGTAAAACCAGACGGTGCTGAATGCATTGCATGTCGCTGATAGGGGGGCCGGTCCTGCAGGGGTGGTTACTGCAGGGCAGAGTAATGGTCAGCCCGGCCTCCAGCTCCTTCTGGTGCATTACAATGAAACTGGCCTAAGCATTGTAGTGCTGCCTTTGGCTGACTGTGGCGTAAGCAAAGGCAGTCCTACTACAAGTAGCAGAACCTTTAATTATCTGTAACTCCAGCATCACCCTGTTGAGAGAATCCCATCAGTAGCAGACACCTTCGTCAGTTCTTTCATGTCTCTGTTACTGTGATCCAGAACCTGCAGCTGTGTGACAGTTTTCATTTCTGATGATATGCGGATTTCAGAAAAGTTTGAAGCAGAGTAGCTGGGCCTCATGTTCTGATGTGGTGATGAGTGTACCAGTAGATAGGTTTGAATACCATCCTCTGTCCCTTGACACGTAGGCTGCAGGGATGACAAGTTCCAAAGTAGTATTAAATAGTACAAATGTGATTGAAACTTTACAGTAACATGGTGTTTCTAATTAGTTTTACTGTTGCTCCACCTATAAGCTTTTATTCACTGTATCTGGAACAAAAACACTTTTGATTTTGTTTCTATGTTTGAGGGCAGAGAGGGCTCTGCTTACAAATTGACTTTGCTTTGTCAGAATATGATGTATAAAAGTGGCTATCCACTTTTAAAGCAATATAATGGCCAAATTATCTTCTCTGTCTGTCTGGTAGAAAGTGAATTTGTCGAAGTTGCACAATTTGTATGCATTTTGTTGTATTAAGTCACTGAAACATTTCATTATGATGCCTTAAAACTGCTATAAACATTTGGAAATTCACTTGTTTCTCATCAGAATGATTTTTGTAAAGTCTGTGTATTTAACGTAAATTCTTGGATGATTTTTGTAAACGGTTTGAACAATTGGTGTTAAAATTGTATTACATTTTCTGCAGTGTAATGTTGCTACCGTTTTTTTTTTCTCATTGATTTGTTAGACTGTTTAGATGCCGATATACACTGTAGTTGGTGACTGGAACAAATATCACACTGTCACTGTACATCACTGATTTATTTTTTTCTATTGTCTATAAATTTAGAAACAATATGATTAAATTAAATTGACCTATAGTTACTATCTATGTCATAAGGAATTATTGAATGTTCATCAACCAGTTTTTTGTTTTTTGCCCATTTGCCCAGGAATGAGTCAGATACTACTGGCTTTCTTCCTATTACGCTTTAAGTGAAATTTGCCCCCATACTTTGTTTGTAATGCTTTTTGACTTCAATTAAAAATATCCAAGTTGGAGGAAGGTAAGAGACATTTTACGCAGTTCGTAGTTGTACAAAATGCATACTGTACCAGTTCTACTCCAGCAAGAATTCACTACTGAGTTGTTTGTGTGATACTCAATGAAACGTACTGGATTAGTTTACTATAATGTCCTGATCCCTCACAGTACATATTTTATTTTTGTTTTGACTCAAAAACTTGCTTTGATAACAGTACAAAGAGTAGGAAAAATGTAATATGTATTTTAAAATAGGTGTACACACTCGCCACTAGCACTCTGAATAAAACATAGAAAACGCAACTTGTATGAACAACCAGTGTGACTGACTTTCTAGTAGATCTGATTAGCATTTAGGCAGAAACACGTTCGTATCAGAGAAGCAGTATAGACTACTACTATTCCCACGGTTTCTGAGCTGCACATACGGTGCTCTAGGACTAGTTCACACAAGAATACAAATGAGTCATGTTAATATAGTTAATGCTCCTCTATAAATAGAGGCGGTGTTTGTTTTGTGAGCCGAAATTTCTTGTGTGACTGGCAAAGCACAGTGTGTTGTCAAAATAGATGAGAACTGTGCAATTCCCAACTGTAGTTCACATCGGCAGACTGATTACAGCTTTATCATATCAAACATTTGTTCATGGCACAAGTCTTGTGGCTCACTGGTACCCCCATTGAGGTTCAAATGAATGCTGTGAAAAAGGTCGATTCTAGTATATTCTTTATTTTCTCCCCTGGTGCATGGATTTCTAATGTGTGTAACATCTGGACAAGTGCCATATTGTCTGAACTGCATGTCTTCCCTAATGCATGGCGCTGAGATGGTGGTGTCCTTCACAGGCCCTGTAGAGTACTGCATTACCTTCAGGAACACAACACTATATGTGACCTTCTGTATACTGTTACACGTTTCCAGCAGAGCATGTGCTAACACAGCATTCAGTCAACTGCCTAGACTGAGAGCCAGTGTTGTTCTGGCCTCTATTATCTGTTGTTGCAGAAATGTTTGCTTTTGTTCAAAGTAACTGTGACAAACACGGTGCATGCAGAAATTAACTTGGCTGATGTGCTGATGCAAGAGGACAGCATTCCCACTAGTTGGTACATTCATAGATTTGTGAGTGTGTGGACAAATGATTCAGGCCACTAACTGTTAGATGTCATCGTACTTTCTAACGCTGCCATCAACTAATAAAATACACCCAGCACTGTTTTTTACAACGCGCAAAATGAGGCAGAAGTACTGAAAAATGTGGACTACGAGTGTGTGAATGAAATCTGAATGTAGATTGTACTTGATTGTATTACATTTATTTTGTAACCTTAGTTACTTTTCAGAACCAGAGTAATACAAAAATTACACTACAATCATAAGACTTTATTGATTTCTTGTGGAAACTTCAGTATGTAAAATACTTAAAACTTTAAGTATATATGATAGTTAACATTAGCACCTTTACCAGCTGCAAAGTAATGAACACAATCTATCGTAATCCAATAATATATATGTTCATGTTAAATGTGCCATTCTGCATAATGATTTTTAGTAGTACTTTATGCTAATACTGATGCTGATGCTAATACTTTTGTACTTTTACTTAAGTAACATTTTAAATTCAGGACTTTTACTTTAACAGAGTATGTTTACACTGTTGTATTGCTACTTTTACTTAAGTAAGGCATCTATTGCAAGTATTTCTTCCACCACTGTCAGTATACCTGTTTGAGGACACATTCACAGGGTTATTATGTTCACAAACACACCTGGATAAATAGTTCAGCTCTCTGCTTTCTACATGCAACCATCCGCCTTTAATAGAGTTGCGGTCAAATATGGTATTTGTTTGCTGAAGCTGTAGTCAGGATTATGTCGTGAGATGCAGGTGGGAGAGGCCTGTCTCTTGAAGTTGCTGCTGTGGGTAGTGATGGATGGTTTGTTGTTGCCTGGAGTGCAACAGGGTGAGGCACATCAAGAATAGTAACCAGAAAACAGGTTCAAGGAACCTACAGAACTACAAGAAGTTTATAAAATAAAATCTGATATGAGAAAAGAATCCTACTTCTAACACTTCCAACTGTTGAACCAACTCATGGCTTAATCTCAGTGAAATCTCTCTACAGTACTGGGAATGAATACATGCCTTTGTGCATCAAGCCAGAACATTTTTATGACTACAGCCATGTGTTTTTCCTCACATTTAGAAAAGAGTGGAATGTTATCACACCGCAGGGACACTTCATTTGAGGTATTTATGTGTTTACATCCTCTTTTGCACTTTGGCATTCATAACAAGACTGAGACACCACAGTGGCATCCGGGTGTGCGGGTCTCTTGCTGGTTCTGACAAACTTACTTTGCCTCTTGTGGTGTTATTGTGTGACTGATCTACAAAAGACCTGAAAAAGTCCTTTTCCTCCTCCAGTTCCTGGGAATCAGACTTAGAAATCTTGACTTGGAATGCGTTGGTATGAAGTTATGCCTTCAGTATTTGCTGTAGAACCAGATGCAGTGCGCATGATACTACACCGCCCATCCTGTGTTGTCAAACCTGTGCAGCTCCATCATGGTGTGTACAGTGCTTGTTTTGCTAGATTATAAATTGCAGCATGAGTGAACATACTTTCCATGGGTGGGATGGTGTTTCTATATAATTCCAGCTTCCCAGGCACAACTTGAAACCCGAGAGTGGGTGTGTTGTGTTTTTGTGGTGTGTTTGCTGTTGCATATATGCTGACTGTTGTTCAGAAACTATGCAGCCCTAATGTAGGTGGATAAATATTTCCATGTGCGCTTGTGGAAATACAGGTCTTTAAGCCTGGAAGAGTGTAGGTCTAAGTGCAGGTCCTTGTGTTCAACAGCACATGAAAATTAGGCAGGGTTTGAGGCAAAGACACCATAAAAAAAACATCTGAAATTATTCAGATCTTTGAATTTTTTTATATTCAATTTATTTAGCTAAGTTTTCAATTGTATCTATTGCAAGTTTTACTTAAATAATCACCTTTATTGGCCAAGTATGTTACACACAAGGAATTTGTTTCCGGTACAGAACCGAGGCAGCCATCTGCGGCACCAACTCAACCGATGGCTCCAACCATCAGGGGAAACTTGGGGGTTCAGTGTCTTGCCCATGGACACTTTGGTACGTGGACTGCAGGCACCGAGATTCGAACTGCTGACCGGGAGACGACTGCTGTACCCACTGAACCATTGAATTAAACATCTGCTGCTATGATGAAGTGAATCTGATGCCACAATCTGTAACACTGAAACGAGGATTTGAAAGGATGAAAATAAATTTTGAATCTGTAAAATATAGATTTAAAACAGAAAATTAGGCTTCAAATATTTGAAAAGGAGATTTGAAAGTCTGAAAAAATGTTGCATTTTTTTCAATTATTACAAATTGGTGTTTTCAAGGTTCTGAAACTTGTTTTTCAGACATTCAACACACCTTTTTCAGAGATTCAACACTTTCTGAGTTTCCATCTGTTCTTTCTGACCCTGTGTTAACAGGAGGAAACCAACTGAAAAAAGTCAGCACTGAAAAAATGATAATATAATACATTTCTCTAGTCAGACTCACTTCATACTCATTAACTAACCAAAATCAGAAAGTTCTCCACTTTCCTCACATTCACTACCAAATGACATTGTTCTTTCATAAGAACATTGCAGACCTGTAAAGTGTTATGTTTAAATTCTGCTACATAAAGACATAAGTGTACTATGAAGTTCAGGTAAATACTCAACGCTGTTGGCTTATAAAAGAACTTCATTGTTGCTGAAAAAACTCCAGCATGACCTCAGTGTTCTATATCGGATAATACAGGAGTGTAAAAACGTTTCCCTGTGAGGTCCACACTGCTAAACAAGAGTATGTGACTACAGTTATAACAGTGTCATCATTGTTTCACCACACACTGGCTCTGTGTCACACTAGTGCACTTTTAACCCTTGGCCATTTCTTCCCAAAAAGGATGACCTGTATGTTCCTGTGAACTGGTCAGTTTTCTGTGCCACAGTTCAGGTCGGCTGATTGGATCTTTAATGGTCCTCATATGAAACAAGGAAGGAATTAATAATGTTTCTAATAACAACTATATAAAAAAGGTTTCCAGAGTGCCCACATTGGGTTTATCCTTTAACAAATGGTGACATTTTTCATTCAGTGAAATTTCATCTGCAGGGGGGAATGGACCCGCTTCAAACAGTTACTGACGTCAATATGGCTCATCCATATTAAGTCCTGCTATTTTTGAATGTGATATCACAGCTCAAAACGTTCATGACAGTACCAAATGTGAGAAGAAGTCACATAAAAAAAGTGTAGGAAGTGTGAACAGATAGTCTCAGATGTATGCAGATACACAGGCCTCTCCCAACAAGCTGATCTCAGGATCAACCTGACTGAGTGTGGTCATCTGTGGGATGTAAACAAGTATAATTATGGCTCTTACTGTGGCTCAGTACGTGGCACACATGATGACATAGTGCGTTAAGGTCTAGGTGTGTTTATTAGTGTTGTGGGAGCACCTCATTCAAAGTGATAAATCACATTCTTGGTTAGTAATCCTTTGCAGTAAAGAGTTATCAAACTCCCACTTTTGAGAAACATGAATTACTTTATTAAATGTCTGATAGCGACACTGCTTCCCCACATCTATGGGCTTGAACATGTAACAGCTGAAGCTTCAGATTCACTTAGTGTCAGCCATTATCTGCCACTTTGAGCTGTTGTTTGCTCTTCAACAACCATTAACGCTATTAAAGTCTTAATCTAATTTGAGGTCCTGGATCAGCTGCTGCTGGAATCAGCTGAATACCAGCAGAGGAACTCTCGTTCACTCACTTGTACATTCTGTTCCCTTTGTGTGAACTTTGGTCAACTACTTGATATAAATAGATAAACGACCATATCATTGACTGATTTTGAATGTTTTGTCCCATTTACCACACATTTTTCATTGCTTTCATTACCAAACACACTACACTGCAAAGTTTTATTTTTGCAAATGTGTTTTACCTGCATTATAGCTTCAACTGGTTTCCATTCATTTTCATACTGGTATAAATACCAACTTGGGGCAAAGTTTTCTTATCTGGATCAAGGTTGTAAGAACAGAGGATGTCATGCTGTGCAGTTCATAAAGGCCATTTGGCTATAAACTTGGTTATATACAGCAGTAATACAGCAGTGAGCACCAATATAATGTACACTTTTTGAGTGTCAAAAGGGCAAACAATAATGTATATTTATCAGTTGTGTTGAAAATAAATTAAAAATATGAAACACATTTAAAAAGAGCTTTAAATCACTGAATTTGATACTTTGTTTTCCACTGCTTTGTAATCTTAGGAGACACTGATTAAACAGGTTCAGTCAGGGGTTTAACCTTTTCCTATTAACAATTTATTGGTAAACTGAGCAGTGCAACTGGACAATATGTAGCAGCAGGTCACCATCCAAAGTCCAACTAGGGATTCACACATGTACTCACTGAGCGGTTTTCATAAACTAATGCATACCGAAGTCATGACATAAGGTTTCTGAGGGTTGCACAAGTTGTTCTACCCAAGTCAACAGGTAGCTCCAGCAGCCTCCACCTGACCCTCCCCTCACAACTATTCCTTGTTTCCCCAGTTCCCTATTTGGCTGTTTCGGTCGGTCTGTGGGCGGGTTGCTTGTTTTTGTTACGCACACCCACAGTGACGTGATGAGAAACGGCCTCCCAGTGCGCACAGAGGCGCGGACACACTGATAACAGCGGCGGCTCCTGTGTGTGGCCAGCAGAGACACTTCTCCCTCGGAGGAAGCGACGCACGCCACGCTTTTATTTATCTATTTATTTATTGTTTGTGGAGTATTTAATATATACCTGTCAACGATGAACGGAGTAACGAGGAATCTGTACACATTTGAGGACATCAGAAATCAGGAACATGGAGTAAGTTATTCAATATTCACATATTTGTCAAAGTCCTTGTGTTTGTTTGATGAGTAGGCCTGCGTTGCTGTTTTCTTTACGTGGGCTATTTTAAAAATCCTGAAGGTCTAATTGTTGCCTACTCAAATCTTTCGATGTGTTGCTGTAATAATTCTGAGTTTCAGTTGTTTTTTCTTACACGACTCTGCTGGGCTTTGTGGACTGGAGGCTCAAGGCTCTGTCTGACTGATTCTGTCACTGGCTGAGTGGCTTCATCGGTTTTATGTGGTGTATTTACTTTTAAGCTTTTAGACCTTGTGGTAATTAAAGCTTTAGCCCTCAAGTCCCAACACACACAGACACAAGGCAGCCGCTCAGAATTAGTCCATGTAACATCTGTGTTTGTCACAGGTGCCTTCAGCCGCATCATTTCAGGGCTTACAGTACTAGTTGTGGCAGACAGTGAAGGCAGCTCAGGACCTACAGTATAAAGGCCTTGCTTGTGCACTGTGTGCACCACCTGTGCATGTAAAGTTGTGTTAAACTGGATTAAAGAGCCCACAGCCCCGTGCTTTGGTGCTGGATACTAATAAACCAGTGATCAGAGCAGCTCATGTCACGTACACTGCACGGACCTTCTGCCCAGCCTGTGGCAGTGATGTTTAATCATTTACAGTACTTCACCTAAAAAAAACAACTGTTAACCAGCTCTGTGGTTTATGAGGTTGCAGAGCAACATGACACTTTCACCTTATCAACAGCCTCCTACTGAGCTCAGCACCTGCCAGCATCACAGGGATCGTATCAAATCACATTAAAAGACACTGCAGAGGACACCAACAGTCGTGGTTATGTTAAATAGACTTTACAGAATTAGCACGGAGTCTGAGAGTCATGTGGTCCACTTGTCAGTTGTATAATTATCACTTTATGTTGTATAACTGCCAAAATGGTCAATGTGTACAAAGGGCAGCACCACTCACACACCTCTTATGCTGATTTAACTTGTTCAGGAACATGTCATGAAGCAATATATGAAACTCCATATCTGTTCAGCCTATACAAGATTATGCTTTAACATGCAAATGATAGTGCATTTGCATCAGCATCATACAGGTCATGCATTCATCTTATCAAAGTCAAATCCAGGTGGCCAATAGTCACACATGTAGTGTACATTTCTCATATGGTCACTCAGGTCAGACTAAGCACAGCTGCTGAGGGACTTAATTCTTCTTGTATCATAACATAATGACTGTGCAGGATAGAAGGATTATTCATTAGAAAGTGACACCCGTACTGCAGGTCTATAATTATACTTGAAGTGAAGGAATGTGCCTGATGTTGCAGAGACATTCAGGGTTGTTGTGTTTTTTTTTTTTGTTTTTTTTTTTTTTTTTGTAAGTACAGTTTCTTTCCTGGAACTGAGATGATGCCATCTAAAACAAAATGAAAGGACAGATAGCCCTGGTGCCGTGAGTTTTCAGAGAGATTCAGGGTTGTTGTGTTTTTTTTTTTTGTTTTTTTTTTTTTTTTGTAAGTACAGTTTCTTTCCTGGAACTGAGATGATGCCATCTAAAACAAAATGAAAGGACAGATAGCCCTGGCTTTGAAACTGAAAGTTCTTTTGGAGTTTATAGCAATGGCCGAAATGGTTTTTCAGCTATTATTTGAATTGTATTTGAAACTTGTGATTTCTCCTCAGTGTATCAAGAAGTTTTTTTTCTGTTCAGATACTTCTTACATAATGCCACAGTTATCCCCTCCAGACACTTGGCTTCTCTACACTGTGTGACTTAACACGCTCCCTCTGGCTCTCCTCAGCAGTCACCATCTCAGTCAGGAATGTCTGACATCATCGGTGGGGAATGGGACAAACATGACAAATAAATACATTTATGTAAAGAAACACCTGGATAACGCCAGAGGATGCTTGGTTCACAGGCCACATTGAGCAAAACTATTGTTAATGGTATGAATATGAGAGAAGTCCAGTGTTGTCTGTCACTGTGGGGTTTGTTTTAATGGCAGCTCTCGCTTCATGACTCAGGTCTGTGTTCTCACATGGTGGTAATACATACGCAATACCCCAACACTTCACACATCAGGTTGTCTATTCACTTCTTCCAAATGTACTTGACCTATAATTACCTTAACCATTTAGTTTGTTGACTGACTTGAGAGCCAGGCCTCCATAATTCACATAACAAGACATACAGCTTGATGTAGGGACAGGACATACTTGGTACAGGGCTGCTACTACAGCAGTTTTCATTACTGCCATTACATCAGTTTGCCAATTATTCTTCCATTTTAATGCTTTATCATTTAGTCCCTGAAAATAAAAAAAAGGTGGAACATAAGTTCCCAGAGCCCAAGTTGACATGTTTGTCTTGCTTGTTTTGTCCAACTAACTGACAAAACCCAAAAGAATTTAATTTACTATCTTGTATAACAAAGAAAAGTAGCAAAACTTCACATTTGTGAAGTTGGAACCTGGAGTTGGCGCTGGATATCATTCTAAAATTTTTGATACCGATACCAATACTGATGCCTTGACTTCTGTACCGGTTCCTAAACAGTTGTTATTATTGCAAACCTATTTACCACAGCCTTAAGTTCTGTTAAGATTAACGTTGATAAATAAAAATGTAGGAAACCTTTTTTTTTTTTTTATACTTGATGGTTATTGAAGTAATTCAACTGATGTCATAAAAGTATCGGCGTTCGATACCCAGCACTACCTGTAGTGTGATATTTGGGTGTTACCAAAATAGTTGCCAATTAATTTTCTTTTGACGTAGCACTACTGAAAACTCCTAGGGCCAGGTATTGAACAGTGGCTAAAATATCCTCATTGCACTGAATATCAGTAGCTGTCAAGATTCTTAGTCTTGTTTCTTTGGTCAGTTATTCTCTTATGTAAACATTTACTTAGTTTACACTTTAAACTTTAAGCATAGTTTGTGTTTAGCTGCTTAAACACATCGTTATACTATAGAAGTAAGATGTTGGTAATGAAAGTCTAGCACCTGCGTTGTCGGCTCCCACCTGTTTCCTCACAGGCAGAGGTTGATAATGCAGCAGGACAAAAGACACAAGTGACACCCTATGGAGAAACAGTGAGTAGGACAGAGTGATTTAATGGATTGTGAAGTGGACACAGTCATGTCTTACTAGTTATGAGGACATTTATTGATATTATGTGATCTCTAGACACTAACCTCAACCTATCACATCTAAATGCCTGCCCCTACTCTAAACCTAATTCTACCCTTAACCCTAAAAGCAAGTCTTAACATTCATATAGCTCTCTGAAGTTGTGAGAACTGGTTAAAATGTCCTCATGGCACCAAAATGTCTGCACAACAATGGCAGTGGACAGAAACTGGTCCACACGATGGAATAAAGAAGCTGCGTACGCACACTTTCTTGAGAATTTTGGCACTACACTTGGGAGGCACAGGAGGACCATTTGTGGCCATGTCGGCTGCTGAATTTAACAATCTGAATTTAAATCAGGTGCTGCTTTTTAAAGTGGCACAGAGGACATTGTGTTTTCCCCCTGAATTCAGCAGTTCTGCCTGTTTATCAGCAACATTCCTAGGGAAGGTGTTCACCTCCCAGTGAATTTAACCCAGATGATTTACAGGCCTCCTGATGCCAAAGTCCAAAGCAAAAACATTCTCACCCTTTAAGCCTTCCAGCCTGGCCATGTCCCCTGATCCTTTGTGCCCATTGTCAGTGCACCTAGCAGTGTGTGTCTGCTTAGTTTCAGGTTTCTGCCTTATTATAAAGGTAGGAGGTACTTTGTGCATCAGTGTGTGTATTTTCCCGCGTGTGAGTGGCTGTGTACGTGCACATCCAACTAGTCCTTTTGTTCGTGTTCCTAAGAAGTCTTGTATTACAGGTTGGCTGAGAGGTGGCATGGATGGCATTTTTGTTTGTGTGAATTATAAAAAAGAACACAAACAGAGATACCAGCATGCAACTCGCCAGTGGCAGAGTAAGGATTAGAGTCTTTGTCTGGGTGTCCACAAAAGGCCAGATAATCTGTATAATGATGGATTTCTTCTTAACAAGCACCTCACTGTTCCCCCTTTCCTCTCCTCCTGCTCCTCTCTGGGTCTCCTCTTATCACAGTGCCTTCTTTAGAGCATTCAGGCCTCTGTAATCTGAGAGGAAAACATGTTGAACAAAAGGGGATTTTTTTTCCCCCCTGTTTTTGGTTTCATTTTACTGACTTCTATTTGTTTTATAGTTAGACCCCTACCCTAATCATTAGGCTGTTTCGTTTTTTATTGTTGTAGTTGCCTGTTCATTTTTTTCTGCTCTCTTGTTTCTCAGTCACATCTGTCTCTTTCTGCTTTTTTCCATTACTTTGTTTCCTGAATAGATAACAGCTCATCATAAAGGGCTTTTTTAGTCTGTTTCTTTTAAAACTACAGTATGTAACTTAAGGTAGCGCTAGGATGAAACTCCAAATCAATCCGCTCTGCTCCGTCCAGCATTCCCTGTCCCTGCTCCGCCACGCTCTGCCCAGCTCTTCAGATATGTCATTATGAAAATGCAAAAATGGAAAATGCAACAAAACTTACTGGTCAAGCACAAATAAGTGAAAATCTCTGACTGGTTAGAAAGGTCAGTCCTGCACAAAATCGTGTAGAAACTAATATCTCTGCACTGCTGTTCAATGAGTCTGGGTCACAGGAGGCTTCGACAGCACGTCTCCATATTAAGACAAGTTTTAGAGCAGAGTTCTACAGCAGAGAAACATTTTCTATTGTAGGTTTAATCATAGCACCAATCATAGCATAGCATTGTTATGTTTCCCAAGGCACTGTATCAGACACCAGGGTTTCTTAACAGCAGAAGTGGCTTTATTTGAGTACCACGCCTAGTGTAAACAGCAAAAACAATTGGGCTTTGAGGTTTATTCTTGATGTTTACAGCAGTAATGTATTCTGGAGCTTTTTGTTACATCACATGATGGAAGATGTTCACATTTGACTGAAATTCCAGGTCATTTAGGCTCAGAATACAAAATACTGCAAATGTGAAGACCTTTAATTCTGTGATAACCAGGCAAACTGCATCTACAGACAAACACCAAAAACCTCTAGGGCAGCTACTAAATACTTAAAATGGTTTCATTAGCAACCAAAAAAATTGTCTTTGACAGTCAGTGGCTGGACCTTTTGTGCAGATAAACAGAACATTTTGTGTTGACCGGAATGAGTCTCAACCCCCTCCCTCACATCCGCATGTTTGGCTTTGCACACACACATATATTGGCTGTCACGTCCCACTTCAAACTTTTCCTGTTAAAGTGGCTTCTCTCACGTTACCCAAAAGAAAAAGTTGGAAGGTTTGTGTCTGTAGCTTTTTCAAGTTTTTGTCAAATGTTGTGTGTCTGTGTGGGAGTGTGCGTGTGTGCGTGCATTGTTGTATCTCTTACTTAATCCCCCCTAATGCATTGTTGGTGTGCCAGACAGTTTATGGCTACTGTGAGGTTTTGTTTCCATGGAAATGTTCTGTCACACTTGACATTACATTTTCTGCCCACTTCCCCAGAAATCCACTCAGCGCTTTCAATTGGCTGAGAGCGTCTGGAGACTTTCTGCCAAAATCCCACTGACGTCCATAGTACACAGTTTAAATAAAACAATCTGTCTCTGTGCAGCTGTGAAGAACTTTCGCTTTCTTTCTGACGCTCGTACTCCTGTTTCTCCCCCTCCTCCCCTGTTCATTCAGTGAGTGTGACTCAGTCTCTCCTCCTTCCTCCCCTCCTCAAAATAGTCTTCAAACAGTCTCTCCATCACATCACACGGTCTCTTTGTGGCTTTACTTCATCTTCTCCTTTGCCTTTTTCAGGACGGGTGCAGGCGGCTGCGGCTCACACTGCACAACCAGAGCCAGGCAGCTCAGAGCACAGAGCAGCACAGGGACAAGGTAAGAACGTCCTGCACCTGATAACACACGTTACACTCAGGATTGTAACAACGGGGGAGTAAACAGACCAGGTCTTGGGTTGATGTACAGTGGGAGATGGAGGATAGCGGCAGTGGAAACTTGCGTATAATAACATTTATCATTTTTAAACACAATTTGGATACTTGAGAGAAAAGTATCTGGTTTAAGATAATCTATTATATTTCAATTGACTACATATTTAATGAATGCATGGGGTTGTATTTGAATTAAGACTTAAGGGAGAATAATATGCAATTTGTTTTAATGAGGGGAACAAAACAGTGGCTGTATTTATTCAAAGGTGAAGATGCTCTTATTGAGGCCATATTTGGAGCTGGATGTTTAATCAAAACAGTTTAATCTTCTCAGTGATCCTGAGGAATTGGCTACTGCAAGAGCACACACCTATCACACCACGTCCCTGCGCACAAACCCTAGACACTAATTGCATGTAAACATGCCATAACCTACATCAGCTTTTCATTTGCGTGGTTCTCACACACTAAGAATGTCTCAGACACCCATTGTCCAACCAAAACCAGTGCCAAAGTTGCATAAAGAAGGGACCACCATCTTAGTAAAGTTGCATAACATCTCCCCCTCCCTCTTCTGCATGTCCCTCCCTCTCTCTCTGCTTATGTTTTTGACCAAGAATGTGTACTACTTAGAAGAAACACCAGATGTTTATGGGTTTGTCAGATTATAAAGTCTCACACAAAGTCATAATTTCCTCAGGACACGACAGAGAGAAGCAGTAGTAAATTTTGCAATTTTTTTTAGTTTAATTGCATAATTCGTGTCATATGCTCCTGCCACTTTTCATAGTGATTAAATACATGTACTCTGGGAAGTTCTTGTAAATAATGTGTTGCAATATTGGTCACAAAAAATAATCCGACATTTTCTCTAGTGTTAGCAAAGTACAGTGACCTCACTCAAATATTTGCTTATGATGTTTGGAAGCACATCCAACCACCCATGCTCACAGAACACACTGCTAACTATTCTGTTCTCATCTCCAGCCAATTGGACGAGTGTTTGCAGTGGTGCAGCCAGCCAATGACAGGACAGCTTTGACCCCTGAACCGGTCAAATCTACAGAGGAGCAAGTGGAGGTTATCAAGGTGGGTGTGACAGATGGGAGAAATAAATGGAGGAGTGTAGGACAGTGTTGGTTTTGTGTTTACACTGGTATGTCTCCCTATTCCAGGTGTATCTCGAGGCCCGCAAACAAGAGCAGGAGAAACACCAACAGAGCCTGAAGATGCTGTCAGATGAAGTTTCACAGATACAAGAGGTCAGTAATGCAAAAACACACATGCACGGGACGCTACAGTCTGTCAACCCTGCCCTCCTCACTCCCCTGTTACTGTCTCTCTCTTCTCCTTGTTTCTCTTTGTTGACAAGTAAAGCCTTGTGTCGATCATTCAAGTCTGAAATATTATGAAAGGTCTATGTAAATATCTCAGTGACTCAGCATCATGTTGGATCCACACAGGTGAGGTACTGCCTGAAGACACTGCGGGAGCAGATGGCAGCCAAAAACAAAGTAGGTCTATTTTGAGCTTTTTTTTGTTGTTGCCCTTACCATTGTTAACTTTGCATACTATGTTCGTAATGGCATTTCCTCCACCTTTATTTCCATTCTTTCCTGCCCAACTTCCTCCTTTTCTCTCTCCAGGCGTATACAAACGGGTGGAAAGTCGGTGTTCCCTTTCTGAAGAATATGTCATCTGGCCCAAAGGGAGCAGCTAAAGCTGACGGACAGGTGAGAAGTTTCTCGTGTGAACACCCTCTATCGAAGGTTGTACACTGTAACACCAAATATGCGGGGCTTTTCAGTATCTTGAAGTAATGCACATACAGTATCAGATCTCTCGTAATGTCCCAGTGTGCTTTGTGTGATATCCTGTAAAGTGATCATCTCCCCGAGGTACTCGGGCAGAAGCTGATGTAAAGTTCAACAGGAAGACAAACAAGGATGTGATACAGTACAGGGTGAAAGAGAGGAGTACAATGAGAGTGAGAGAGAACCCCGGGGTGTATGACGTGTGAGAGAGCTGTCCCAGCACATAGTGTTCCTCTGCCTTTGTGCTGAGTTCAGGTCCTCTTCACGGTTGTTGGCATTCCACAGATGCCTTCACCCTTTGATAGTTTTACTGCCATGTTTGAGCCCCGCACTTTTAGCAGCCACTACCATCAGCGGTTTACTGCACGCTCAACAAAACTGACTCCACTGTGTTTGGTTAAAATAATTTTTGTACCATTTATAGCATTGGCCTGTGACTCAGCTATCACTGTCTCTCATAACGGTTGGAAAGGAAAACACTGGTCATGATCCAGCCGCTCCAGTGACGCACACTGACACGCCTGTTTTTTATAACAGGCAAACCACTAAGCTTGAGCTAAATATCTGATATTACATCATAGTATCTGGTCATGTAGCTGCCTATTTGTCATTTTGCCAATATAACATTTAGTTCTTTATCTATCAGGAAGTAGATGATGAAGCAGAGAGAACCAAGCTGCGTGAAGTCAGTAAGCGCTTATATGCACAGCTGCAGGAAGCTGAGAAGAAACACCAAGAGGAGAAAGAGAGGCTGCAGGTAACATATACATTAGTAATGCGTAACAACTGATAATGTACACTTCATTTCAGTTGTACAAAGTTGTCTTTTATACAAACTAAACTCCCGGTTTCCTCCAGGCTGAAGGCAGCAAGCTGAGGGAGCATCTGAGCGACAAGGAGGAGAAGTTGAAGACCACAGAAGAAGCCAGCGAGAGGAAAGACAAGCACATCGAAGAGCTCCAGAGGTTGCTGGGTGGGATGGAGCAAGAGAGCGCCACCCTGCGGGAGGCAATCCGCAACCGTGAGGAGGAGCTCCGCGAACTGCGCAAGATCAGAGAGGCGGGCCAGAAAGGCGACCAGAGGTCAGCAAATACACAGACAAACAAAAATGCTCTTTACCAGTTGGTTTCAGTTCAATCACCACCAGTGTGCTATAACTTTTTGTGTGGACTCTGTAGGGCTGAGCAGTTGGAGAAGGAGGTGGCTGTTCTCAAAGAAAAGATCCACCATCTGGACGACATGCTGAAGAGCCAACAGAGGAAAGTCAGACACATGATTGAACAGGTGAGACGCACATGTGCGAGACTCTGTACAGCAAACACAGTCTCCATATTCATATTTGTTCAGCATTTGCTCACTGATTGTGTGTTCGCTCATCTTCAGCTCCAGAACTCTCGCATGGTGATCCAGGAGAGAGACCGTGTGATCAAAGAGCTGGAGGAGAAAGTGGCGTTCTTGGAAGCTGAGGTGAGGACTGTTTTTTAAAGAACTGAGTGGAATTTAGAGTGAAGCACTGGTATAAATATGGAAGTGAGATGCAAGGAAAAGGAAACACATTCAGCTCAGTCTGATTTCTGCAAAGAGAAATGAGAAGTGAAAGAGAAGGAAATGCAACCACTGTCTGTTTGGTGGCCACTTTTCATACTGGTATTATGTGAACTGACCGCCAATACCACCTGTGTGTGCAGAACCGAGAAATGCATGACCAGATGGACTACTTCCTGGGGGAACAAAGGTCAAATCCCTACTCTTCATCGGAGCATACTCCCCAGATCGTCTATAGGTAACTTAACTTTGCCCTTATTTGTCAGATTTTTTTTTTTTTTTTCAAAATGTAGATCCATTTGCACATCCTAATGGTCATGAAGGGTCACAAGTATGGCATTTCAACATAAATAAAAATATAATCATGTAGTAAATCTTGGCATGAACTGGGCCCCAACTCCCAAACAATGCATGCAAGCACACATATCCACTTGCTAACATTCAGAAATCCACTTAATCTAGTTGTATGGAAGAGTATTAGTGCCACTGTACAAAATTTGAGTTCTGACTTTTTTTCTAAAATCTGAATTCTGAAAAAGCATTAAAGAATTCTGAGCAAAAACAACTATCCATTTTATGGTATCTAAATATGAACAATTCATTTTTCTCTTTCTCTACAGTAAACCACTTAAGCTGTCCTCCTCATCTAACAAACCACTGCCTTTAATGAAAGTCATCGAGATCAAGTCATGAAGTGACTCTGCAGAAGAAAGACAATTCTGGAGTGAAGAGCTCAGAACCACCGAATCTTTTCAATGCAGACTGAAACCAAACAGTAGTGTTGCTACCGTATTAGATCACATAAATCTCTGGAATATCAGAGCTGAACTTCCTGGACTGCAGCTACATCAACACTTCCACTAAACAATTCTAACCTCACACACACATGAAGGAAGAAGTTGGGCAGCGCACACACACTGGGATGTTGTGTGTCTGTGCATAATGAATGGCAGCTTTAATGTAGAAACATTAAGCGTACTGATACCGCTGATATGCATTTGAAGTTTATAATGATGCATACTGTATATGCAAGTATGTCCTTGTCCTTCTGATCACTTTGACCTTTTGAGTTTATGGCATCTGTGTTATTGTATCAAAAAACAACTGTTATGTAGGATTCACACATCTTTTGCCAAAGTGAGTAACAGCGTTATAGGGTCCACATACAGTAACAATAAGCATCAATATATTAACAAAAGGTGTCATTTAAAAAAAAAATGCAATTCAATTTAAAACTCATTAACCTAATAATCCAAATCCTGTGTCCTTCTCACTAGACGCTCCTACTTTCCTTTGTTCCCTTTGCTGAGTGTGCAATGCTCTGATGTGTAAATACGAACTGTAGCCTATATAAGGTTAACACCCTGTGATGGAAAGAGCTGTTTAAAAAATAGCTGGCTTTTAAGTCCCAAACAGCAATATGGCACTTAACGAAACTGTGAAGAAGCGGAAGAAAAAAAATTAAGCTATTGCTGCTTCATAGAAGTGTCATTATTTAAAATATTTCTTGTAAAGCATTTCACTTTCCGGTCACTGTGTATATACATTCATCATTTTGTACATACTAATGAATGCTATTTGATGTTTTAATTCCTACCTAAAACTTTCTGTTCTATTTATTTTTGTTAAAAATAGACCTCTAGACTGATAGAAGTAGATTTTGTATGAAGTACATTCTAATCTATTATCTGTGCTTGTGGCTCTCAAAATAAAATACTGAAAAATGATACAACAGTGCTTCCTCTCTTACTGGAATCAAACCAGTAGATTACTACAAAAGGAGCGCCCTCTGCTGGACACTATTCTCACAAAATACTATACTGTGCTGATTGCATGTAAGAACATTGTACGACAATTTTTAACTGTATGCTACAGTTTTATTTTGAAGGCAACATGTACAGTAAGCAGGTTAGAATACCTCCCTGGGAACCATGAATACCAAATGAGACATCTCAGGCGAGCAGTCTACCTCTAACATGGAAACAAGTGAGAGCCTTCCCTGAGGCTGAGACATATCTCAAATACAGAATACATTAATACTGAATAATGATAAATTACATTGCACTGAGAGACATTAAGTTAATTATGACAACTCGTCAAAACATCTTTAAAACAAACATTTAAGGCTTAAAAAGGCTCCCAGATTCACAGTAACAAAAGAAAAGAAGAGCCATACTTACTGTAGGCACACACAAAACTGGCATCAACTGTTTTAATCCCCTGTAGAGTAACCAGTAACACTAGTAATAACAGCAGTAACTATCAGCATGTTTATATACAGCTGGTTAATTTCAGTAAGTCTGCATAGGTCTTTATACTGTGCAATAAATACTGATTGTCTTATGACAGTGCATAGCCCCATAGCTCTAGCTTTGTTTTGGTCAAATCAACCTTACATACTATTACTTTTCTACACATAAAGAACACTTGTTCACATGCAGTAAGCATAAGCTACACTTAGGTAAAGTGCACTGTACCAGTAGTCTGATATGCACTATAAAGTAATTCAGGTAATACGTGTTAGTATATGAAGGCAGTGTTTTGTCACTTCTCTCTAAAACTATGTGGTGACAGTAACCCTGTCTCTGTCCACAGGCACTTTACTCACCAGTAGCACTACCTTGTCCTTGACCCTTGCTTTGGATAGGTGCCACAGTTTTTCAGAGCGTACTGTCCAAAGTGTCGTAGTTGTCTTTGAAGTTCTTCAGCTCCAGGAAGTGCCTGGGCCTCTTGCTGCGATGCTGCATTGTAAATGTGAGGTAGGTGGCTTGGGTGGGGGAGTTTGCAGGATCTGTGGTACTGGTCAGGTCTTTGGCTGCAGACTGGTGATGCTGGCTTGGAGTGCTGCTGCTGCTGCTTTGAGACTTCACACTGAAACAACGAAGGGAGAAACAGATTGTTCCCAGCGTATAAATAACATTCCATGTTGGATTAGATTCAAAGGAAAGCTGTAAGGGAGCACTGTGGGGAAAGGTTGTGTTTACTCACACAGAGGCCAGTTCAGTTAGGGCTGTCTGATATTTTGTAAATTCTGCTTCACCAAAAGCCTACAGACAAAGACAGGAGCCAAACAAGGGACAACAGTAATTAGATGTTTTACCAGACCTTCACACACCATATCTGCTGTTCAAAACGAAAGGCTGAAAAGAGGGTGTGCATGTTTGTGCATCCTGCTATGCTATGGATGAGAAGAAATACACGATGGGGATATTTATTGACCTAAAAAAAGCATTTGACACAATCAATCATGAGTTATTAATGGATAAGTTAGAAAAATATGGGATCAGATGAATGGTTCTGAAATGGATTAGAAGTTATTTGACACAGGCGTCAATTTGTGAAGTTGGGTGAATACCAATCGAGTGAGCTGGACATTGTATGTGGAGTGCCTCAGGGTTCTGTTTTGGGACCTAAATTATTTATATTATACATTAATGATATATGTAAGGTTTCTGATTTAGTGAAAGTGGTTTTGTTTGCTGATGACACTACCATATGG